ACCACGATTAAATTCGTTATACCAATTTTTTACAGTGCTGTAGGATGGCGCTTTATCGCTGAATAAAGAATTAAGTTCATCGAAGCACTCTTGTCTTGACAATCCACGTCGAAAGTTATGAAAAATAATGGCACGAAAATGTTCACGATTCAATTCCATTTTTTGAAAGAGAAGAACTTTTCAATTTACTGTCAACAACACAAATGAAGCTATAATGGTAAATCGTTTGCTGAATTTATGTTTAAAAATATCAAACTTTCGATTAAAATCGACTGCGGTCGCCTAGCAACACTTACTGTTGCCAAGGCCAGAAATATAAATAGCAACCCTCGTATAAACGTAGATATTATGGAAGAATCTAGTTGTTTTTTTAATACACATTTTTGTTTGTTTGTTTTTAAATGTTTCATTGAAGTCAAAATTTCTTAAGTGTAAGTTAACTATAATCGAAAGTTAACTATTCTTTACAAAACTATATACATTAAATATGTTTTTATATGCTTAGATACGGGTTCATATGATTTACCTGAAAACCCAATATCTTGATTTTTTTATGCATATTCATTAAAAAAAATTTTTTTTTCGGGAATCGCTAAGGGAAAATGAATAAGAATTTAAGGTGTAATAGTGCTTTTTAAGGAAAAAAAACTGCAAATTGTTAAAAATAAAGTAATAACACGGAGAAAATAATTTTTTAATTTTTATTCACAAAGTGTTCTTCCTAATAAAATTAATCTAATAATTAAAATTTAGTTAAAGAATTTAATAAGGTAAAAAACAATCGCCTGACACTCGAAAAAAAGTTTATACCTTTTTTTTTTAATGTTCGACGCTTAGTTTGCAAGAAAAAAGTAGCTTGTCATATTCCGGCTACTGAGAACGTGCAATGTTATTCGGTTATTAACGTAACTCCTCTGCACTTGCTACATAATTCGTGTTATTTCTTGTTACTGTAGCAACTTATTTGACAAATACAGTTTCATTAAGAATGAAGAATACGAGCAGTGAAAATATTTCATAACTTTCGTTCTTTTTTCTAAATGATGGGTGCTTTTTTTTCATTATTGTTTTTCATAAATTTTTTTGCTCCGAATATATATTTTGTAATTTGTCAAAAAATAGTTAATAGTTGTTGTGTATAGAGAATCTGAATAACAACTCAATGAGAGTTGCACCGAACAGAAATATACGGAATTTTCCGCAATCAGCATCATTATACTTAGTGTTCTTGTCGAAATTGTAGTAAATACGTATTTTTTTTAGAAACAGGAGCGAGATTGAAATTTAAAAAATTTATCATAAAGAAGGCGAGATGAAAACATCAAAAGTAGTTTTATTGCCTGATGAAGCTGCTGAGTGTTTCTGTAGGGAAAAATAACGGTTGCCAACTGACGCATGGCTAAATCTAATCAGTGGTGACTAATAAATTGTCCGCAAATCGCCACTTTTTTTTTTTATCGAAATCGCAAACCATGTTCATAGTACTATTAGGATTTTTTAAATAATATTTTGAAAATTAATTTATTTTACATTATCTAAAATTTCTCTTCTTAATTTTAAAAATTCGTTTCCTATATTTTGAGAAATGTTTCGAAGGAAGTGCTTCGCATTATTAATAACAAAAGCTCTTTTAATCGTTTAAATTTAATTTTTTAATTTTCAAAAAAGTAGCCATAGGTTTTAAAAAGTGGTGACCGTTAAAAATTGCTATAACTGGCCATTGGCCCGTAGCGAACTTTCCTAATTTTGCTATATAGATGTTTCTAATAATCGCCTTTCTACAACTCTCTGTTACTTAAGATTATTAATACGGTTTCGATGCTTTAAGTTCCGCTTATCTCAGTAGTAATTAGTTAGATTTTGATAGATTTTTCGTTTTTTCTTAGTTTTAATATTCAACTAATTTAATTTAACTGGCACATAGCAAAATTTCCTAATTTTGCCTTATAGCTGTTTCTGATCATTTTCTTTTAACTACTCTGATAATTAATCCGGTTTCGATGCTTAAGTTCCGCATATCTTAATAGTAATTAGTTAGATTTTGATAGCTTTTTCGTTTTTTCTTAGTTTTAATATTTAACTAATTTAATTTAACTAGCACATAGCAAAATTTCCTAGTTTTGCTTTATAAGTGTTTCTAATAATTTCCTTTTAACTACTTTGTTAATTAATTAGGTTTTGATGCTTTAAGTTCTGCTTATCTCATTTGTAACTGGTCAGATTTTGATAGTGTTTCTGTTTTTTTTTAGTTTTAATATTTAACTAACTTAATTTTACTGGCCACTGGCCAGTACAAAATTTCCTAATTTTGCCTTTAAACTACTGCCCATGCAACAGAGATAAGTAATAATTACGTGAAAATAGCGTTAAAATGCCACAAGGTTTAGAGCAAAGAAACGTTTCTTCAAAACGTTTTATTTCCGTTTCAAGTGGTAGTCTCGAATTAGTTAAAAAAGCGTTATTATGTGAGTTGTTTTTAACGTAAAAATGACCATTTTTTGCCCTTATTTTGACTAAAGTGAATTTCGTAACCAATTTTTTACGTTATTTTAACCAAGCAGGTTTCTTTTTCAACGTATTTTTCACGTTATTTCAACCAAACTATTTACGTTTATTTTCGGTTATATAAATGCGTTTTTTTAACCATGAATATTTACGTGTTTTTAACGCTTATTTTTTTTATAGGGAATATTCTTAACGTAAATTTTACGTTAATTTAACCAAATTACAAACGTATTTTATCCATCGAATTTTCGTTTTATTACCATGAATATTTTTAACTCTTATTTTGAGTTAATGAATTAATTTTTCACGTAAATTTAACTAAATTAATTTCAATTTAACGAAATTTTAACCAAATTGTTAACATTAGCATATTCTAAAAGGTATTTTTTTTGTAACTAAGAAGGAAAGAAACCATTTCGTATTTTAATGTTTACGCTGCACAAATTACACTAAAAAATATCGCATTTAATTTTTATTTAAAAAAAAAAAAAATCCGCTAACTCTGTTAACTCTAAACTCTGTTACTTTAGATAATTAATCAGGTTCCGATGATTTAAGTTCTGCTTATCTCATTACTAATTAGTTAGATTTTGATAGTGTTTTTCTTAGCTTTATTACCCTTGTGTATACTTCCCCCCTTTTTTTGATAAAATTTTTTAAAATTATTCATTAACGGCAATTAAAGAACAACTTCTGTATTAAAATAGGTAAAGTCCACACTTCATTTAATTTAACGATAAAATATATTGTTATGCTTTTAAAATACTGCTGATAGAAGTGTGCATTTTTTGACAAATTTTCATAGAGACATTTTCAATAAAAGAGCAGACAACAAAAAAATCATGAATGATATAATTTATATTTATTTCATCTGTACATTTATCATGATATTTACATATAAATTCTCTCTTATTCACATCACAGAAGGCTGTTTTTTTTTCAAATCTTGTTCTGTTCGAAATTACAATTCGCTAGAAGCTCTCATACATGAAATAAAAGGGCGGGATATCTCCGAATTTCGTGAATGTATTAACTATAACTTCGGAGCCTTAAGATTTATATTATTTATGGTCTCGATAAATAAAGCGATTATATTGTTCCATAAAAATAATAAGTGTCGTGGAAGGTTTTCTACATCTATCACCTTTTAATTTTTAAAAAAAAAGCAAATTATAATATTAATAATTATGGATTGTACTTGTGAAGTAATTCTGTGACAGGCTCTACATATGTCGCAAATTCAATAATACTTTTCTAAAATTGAATATTTTATTGAAATTGATTTATAATTATTTATTGAGTTTTAATTACATAGACGTCTTTGTCAAAGTTTAGCCTGCTCAATAATTTTTTTTGCATATATATGGCAATGCGCTGGACAGAACTCGGAACCCTAAGCTTAATGAATATTTTTTAGATTCCATATCAAATAGAAAAAATTAAATCTACGCTGCAATATATAAATTTATGTGTAATTGGAAAAAAAAACATGTTATTATTATTATTACGAATTATTATCAAGGTCAACCACAGTGAAGGTAGAATTAAAGAGATCTTTTCTTTATAGACCAAAAATTACATTTTTGAAACATAACAATTTCACATTTTTATGTATAAGTCCGTAGATTGAAAAGTAGCACTACTTAAGAATATATAAACAATAGTTTTTTTTCTTCTAAAGCTGTATCTAAAGTGCTTCAATATTCGACCTTTCAGCAGAAATTTTTGTGATGGCAATGCCTAATATTGCTCTAAATTCATAAAATTAGCACATTCTAAAAACAATTTTTTCTGATAGCAAGTTTGCTATAAAAAAAAAGTAAGAATCTATTTTTTACCTTTTTATAGCTTAACTTCTGTTATATTATTTCCCCATTACTTTTTGCTCTTCAATATTGCAATTATCGGTTCATTCTTTTATTATCCATTAGCAAAATGGGTGTTGTTTTGGGTTTGATGGCGTTGTTTTGGGTTTGATGGTCGAATATTTGGACGTCATCACACTTTTCAACTGTTCAAGAGTAATAGTAAACAGTGCGCATGCGTCGTCATTGCATGCGTTGCTATGGTGACCGCTGCTGTTTGATAATTTTTTTAAAAATCTGGAAGAACGCCCATTTTTCCAATGGGTAAAATTTTTTTGTTTTTCAAAAAGGAATTAACTTATAAAAAATTTAAGCATTTCTGCTTTAAAAAACTAACTTTTACAAAACTAAAAAATTTATTATTATTATTATTATTATTTTAGTTTGAAATCATGTCAGTAAATGGTTGGTCTTCATGCATTGATGTTGGGATTATGCTTACTTTATATTTAGCAAAATTTTTTTTATGATAATGTAAATCATTAAAATTAAACAAATGATATTATCATTTTAATATTTACATTTTTTAAAAAATTCAGTTTTCATATTAGCATATTTTAGTAAATACGCAATGTTTTACTTTGACATAAAATTTGCCACTGCTACAAGGTTTACCTGCTTTTTTTAATTATTATTTCTAGTTTTTAAAATTAAGTTTTTTAAAGCAGTAATAAGTACATTAATAAGTACATGTTTTTTGTTTAAATCAAAACCAATTTTGTTCATTCACCACTAAATTTTAATTTCATATTACAGGTCCAATGTTGATGTATAATATTCTCAAAAATATATATTAGTTTATAATAAGTTTTAAGGGGCGGTATATATGTAGTGTTACCCTTTGAGAAGTGTTTCAAAAGTTTTTCAAAATTTTTAAGATATTTTAAAAAATTTTTAAAAATTTTTTGGAAATTTGTTATTAAGTATATCATTGTTTAACTACAGTTTAAATAAGACATTTTCAGAAAAATTATGTGAATAGAATAAAATATTTTTTCTGAAGCTTGCAGATAGAACTTATTTAAAATATCCCAAGTTACAAGTTAAACCTATTACAAATACGATAGCTTAAAAGCAGAATATAAATATAATTACATTTTAAAATAAAACATTATCATAACTTTTTGCTTACGGCTGGAACATGTGGACCACGTGTGATGGTGCACCGTAAGCAAAGGGTTAATTTAACTCAAAAGAAATACAAAATCAATAAATTGAAGAAAAAAAGTAATTTAAAAAAAAATTATATTTCAGGCTTGAGGCAGTATCGTAATAAGTCATACTTTTCCCAAAAGTTAAATTTTTCCACTAAATTGTTTAGTATTGTTTTCAGATAAGTATTACACAAATTTCCGGAATTTCAACTTGACAACATCACTATACACAAGAACATCTTATTGCGTGCATGAAAGTCACGGTATTTTAAATCAATTAAAACCTTTCTAAACTATTTGAAAAAAATGTGGCTTTTTATTTGTATAGCCCCAAGCTCTGCACACTTTAAGTTTTCAAGTAAATATCTCAGCTTGAATAATTTTGGCTTTTACAACTGATTTTCTTAGAACATTTTTATGGGAGTATCAAAAAGCGACTAGCTAAGTGAAAATAACGACCATTAATTCAAATCAGGTTCTGGGAAAAGATAATTTAATTTAAGGGAACTGGAATCACTTGCAGCATGTAACAATAACGTCAATTAGAATTTATTTTTAGTAATTTAAAAATATTTACTTATATGTAATTGCAAATTTAATAATATTTGTAAAATGAGAAACTTCTACTTATGATATTCATTATTTGGTTCTATGTTTTCATTTAATAAGTATGATACATACTATTTTTAAATACACATATTGAAATGAAAATGGTAATATTGACATTAAACATCGTAAAATAATGATTTCTTGTATTAAAATGATTATTTTATTACAAGTATGTCGTTGCAGATTGTAATCCGTTACAATCTTCAACGTGGCTTACACTTATCTAAGGACTTAGAATGGGTTCGAAATTTGGAATATTTATTACGACGCTGTTCTGAGTTTTTGGATTTTCCTTCATCGAGAGTTTGGATGAAGATATATTTTCAGCACTTTCATCACCATAGAAACGTTGATTATCGGAGGAGATATCTTTACACGAAGACTTATTTAACTCTAAAATAACGTTGTCGTTACTTGGTGGTATAACGGTACTAAAGAACGTCTCATGGAAGGAATCAGAGTCACTCTGCTGGAACGAAATGTTTTTCCTGTGGTTTTGCACCATTTCTTTCAAGGCAAATGTTTTAGACAAGCAGTCGTGGCTGAAGCTACGACCAGGCGAAGATTTCGTCGTTGAAAAGCTAAGAGCTTGAGAGTGTTCATCTTCCCGTATTGTAGGAAGACAGGGACTCGAAGGCCAATCGGTAATTCGTGGCGCCGTTGCAAGATTGAGGGAAAAACTAGTATCTTTTGTTGTAGTATTGGAAGAATGGTGTCCTTCCTCGGTGTTATCTGGTTCGTGCACATCTTCGGAAGATGAATACCTGGAACCAACTTCTATGACAGTTTCTTGAGAATATCCTGACGATATGGAAGTTCGGTGGCTTGATTCTTGGTTCTGGATATCTTCTGGTTTGACGTTTTCAAGGCTCAGCCACCGAGCCATGTTGATTGATGTTAGAGGCTGAATAATGGGAAGGCTACATTTCCTGCCGGTCGGCCGGCTTTGGGTAAAAATATTGCTACTTTTTCGTCGGACATGCTTGGGATCTGTCTTAGTGTTGTTGATTCCGGCGGAATCTCGGTGATGATCCACGCTTATTAAGCTCGAATATGAAGTAGATTGGGACATGATGGACGAAGCTCCCGCTGCACTGCTCGGACAACTCAGTGGTCTGCCAGAGCTATCTTCGATGAGACTGAATTTACGTCTGCCTCGTACAGCGGGGGCAGGGGGATTTTTAGTTCTAATCGAGTTTCTGAGTCGAAGGACTTTGTCCCAAGACAGAGCTTCACCACTAGAATGGCGCCTGCTATGGTGAACGTTCTCTTCGAATTGTTCGACTAGCATTTTAACCTCCCAATCGTTGTCACTTTTTACTGTTAAGCTCCTCTCAAATGATGGTTTTTCTAAATCACTGGGAAGCTCTTCTAAGAAGCTTTCTGGAAGTGCAGGATAGATTTTGGGCTTTGGAATGACTGATCTTGATGGCATGTTTGGCGGCGGGGGAGGAAATTCTACACGCCACAGTTCATCTTCCTCTGCCAAAACCATTTTCTGTAAATCAAGCATGGTATTAAAATGATTGAGTTATTTATAATTTATATGGAGTCATTGAGAAATAATGAATCATTGAAAATATTTAAGAGTCTGATAAAATTTTCAATAGAAGTCGATGATATTTCAGTGGATGATATCATATAAACCCTCACCTGGTTTTTTAAAAATTATTTTGTAACAATATCCTTCAATACATTTAAAGATAAAATTTATGTGAAATGAATAGGGTGCTTGGAAAATTGGCATTGACTATATCAACTGAATTCTTATAAGTTACACATAATATTTTAATTCTTACTTTTTCGTTGAAAACCGTACAAAAATTTATTTTTCATATTTTAAAAACTTTTTTCATCTAGTATTTTTCTTTCAATCGGACGTTAACTATCTGCTGCGCCATCTGTTGAAACATTTTGTAAACTAAAACCTGGAATTCTGGGAAGAACATTTGTGTTCTGCCATGTGATTTTTATTGCAAGGACTATTTTTTTCAGTCTCCAGAGGACATTATAAAATGGAAGATACTATTCATTGTATATTTTTTACTATCATAAGTATATAATTAGGAAATAACAGTCAGCATGTTCAAGCGCTCTCAAAAGTAGACGTTCGTTTTCAAGACTTGAAAAACGCGAATGAAAAGAAGCAAAAGTAATTTGAAACATAAAACGAAGTTGCCTACAAAAAAAGGAAAAATAAAGATGAGAAACATAAGTAGAAACATCGCAGAGAGAGGAAAAAAATTGAAAGCAAAATAAGAAATCCACAGTGGTTGAGAGCGGTAAATCAGGGTAAAATGCATTTCCACGGGCAACAGATGTGATGAGGAACTAATGTCTCTAACAGGGAAATAAACATTCATATGAAGAAAACTAGATTCCAGAATATAAAGATGAGCTGATGTGACTGGGGTGGAAATAATTATGGTATGGTCGAAATTGAATTTACGTCCAAGATTCCAACAATGTGCAGCCATTAATGATTTTTTGCGATCTTGATAACGGACATATCTATCTTGCTTATTTAAATTTTATTTATCCGATGTAGCCAAGGTTTCACTGTAAGGAAGTGTGGTAAACACCCCAGCGATTATCAAGGCTAATATGATCTGTAAGAGATTTAAATATTATTTTGTTAACAGGCCTAATTATGACTTTAAAACCAAAACGGGTGAAGATATTAGCAATTTTATAACAAATTTGAGGAAAAAAAAACAATAAAATAGCAAATTTTCTGTAAGAATTAGAAGAGGAGCATTTGGGTCTAGTGAATTTAGCAAGAACTGAATTAATTATAAAAGTGTTAAATCTACAGGTAGCAGCAAGAAAACAGGAATTGAAGTTCGGAGTTATATCGGAGTTGAGTGCGTGGAAAACTAAAGCATGAAAAGCAGAACAATTAGGGTGATTAGAATTAACATTGGGGCAATGAGTCAGAAAAATGTTAACGATAAACAGAGGCGGAAAATGGTCAGAGTATTTATTTACAAGAACATCTAAAAAAGTAAAGAAAATTAAATACCGTGTTTGAAGTAAATTGAATGTTGGGGTCAATTAAGTTGATAACAGAAAATAACTCTCGAATATCGGATTCAATGAAAAGAATTTTGAATCTTTGTACTAAGGCAAACGTAGAGTCAACATATTTTTTCTACCAAGAGAATTTAAAGAATTTATAAACTTTTCTTCCAAATAATGCATGAATATATCACAAATATATGGGAGAGAGGGGATCGCCCATGGCTAAACTCTCAATTTGTTTATAGAAATTATCGCTGAATTGAAAAACCGTTTGCTGAATAGAGAAATAGACAAAGATAATATCATCAATTTCAGTAAAAGAGTAGTAAAATTCTTCAACCGTAGTTTTAAACAATCGATAGTACTAGAAATGGGGAAATTAGTGAAGCAACATTAAGGGACTGTAGTTTTATTAGAGGAGGAAAGAAGTGCTAGTTGGGAAACAAAATCATGGACATTTTAAACAGTATGGGTATTGTTGGAAGTTAAAGGGGAGATGATAAGCGCTAATGAATAGCTAGCAAGTTTATAGTACGACATATCAATGTTCGAGACAATGGGTCTACAAGTTGGGACTTGTTAATTGTAACAGTGTCTAGCAAGTTTACAAGCCCCCACTTGCTTTTTGACTTATTACCTCAAACATTGATACCCCGTGCTATAAATTTGCTTGCAATTTAGCACGTATCATCTCACCTGTTACTTCCAACAATATCCATACTGGTAAAAATTTCCATGATTTTGTTTCTCAACTTGAAAACCTTTCCCGTTTCCAACAAAACTACAGTCCCTGACCAATTTATTAGACGGACTATAAGATTCTATGTAACATCAGGTGATACTATACAGCTTTATTTCTTTTACGTGACTGAAACCGGTTTGCACTTGTTTACGCTAGCGTATCAATGGGTTGAATTAGACGATATATAACATAAATTTGACGATAGGATAAATTAGACAATAGGTTATATAAATATGGAATATTTATTATATCAGGTATTATATTAGTCTATTATAATTATTAGACCAAATTAGTAGACACACTGTAGTTTTTTAATAATTATATGATTTGCACGAGTTTATATGCAACACTCGTATAATTAAACAAACATGTAATTGGTTTTTTGTTCAAGAGATTTGTTATATACTTCCTATTTGTATTTATTTTTAAACTATTACATTATAATGTTAACCAATTTATACAGGAGCATAAACAAATGCAAACCGGTTTCATCCGAGTAAAAACAATACAGCTGTAAAGTATCTCACCTGATAATAAAGATTTTACATAGAATCTTATAGTGCGTTCTAATAATATGGCCTGTATACTCTTTCTTGATGTAGTTTTTCTGTCCCCATTTCTATCGATAGCTTAAAACTACGGTTGTAAGAGTTCCACTACTCTTTGATTGAAATTGAAGATCTTATCATTCCTTGCCAAATCCTGCATCGAGCTAACTGCTTTTTAGTTCAATGGTTATTTCAATAAACAAATTAAGGATTTAACCATGAAAATCCCTCTCTTCTTTGTGGCATATTCATGTATTACTTCGATGGAAAAGTTGAAGTTCTTATATTGTTCGAATTCTATGCTGGCGGCTTAGTTGGCAGTCATATTGATTTTCAAGAGTTACCTTCTGCTGTCAACTCAGTCAATCCTAACATTCAATTTACTTAAGATGCAGAAAAAAATTTTACTTTATCCTTTTTTTCTTTTAGATATTCTTGTAACTAAATACATGAATCGTTTTTCCACCTCTGCTTATCGTAAACATTTTGGCCGTCTCTTCGTCACCTTAGGTTCATTCGAATCACCTTAACTGTCAAAAAATTTCTGCATTTAATATTTTCGCTTTCAATGCACATCACCTTTGCTCTGACTCTTCGACTTTAAACTCCGAACTTTACTTTTTCCGCTCGGTTGCTGCTAACTGGCCTGTTAACAGTAATTGTTTTTGCGGCCTGTTAACAAAATCAAATTTAACCCTTTGTATCACCGCGTTACACATCTGCAACATACATGAAAATTCAATCCTATAATGAGCTGGATTTACCTATGAAATCGAACCAAATTCAGATAAAGAAAATATTGCAAACTCGGGGGAACCAAGTTTTGGTGCAGCTAGCAATATTATAATGCGTTCAGCAAGAATTGTTCCACGACATAATTGCAGGATATAAAATTTTCTTACAACAATCCCCTTGATTGTATATTTGGGTAAGGAGGGATTGAAAAATGTGGTGTGAGACTTTGTTACCATAAAAACAACAATTTCAAAATTTTTCTCATGAAGTTTTAAATATATTGGAATTTTTGTGCTATTTTTCACGATAGTGGAGATGTTCAACAAATGCTTTTTATCAATAAATTTTTAATTTTAAGGTCTTAATTTTTTCATTATTTTCTACACGCTTAATACGAGTATGATGTATTCTAACGTCCGCGTAAATATTTCTTAAATCAGAGTTGTTGAGTTACAAAGGGTTAAATCTTTTTAAGATCCTATTAGCTTTGATAATCGATGGGGCATTTATCACATTTAGTGCGACTTTTGCTGTATCGGACAAACTATCGGCTGTATAGACGCTCTAAAAAAATTAGGACTAAGGAATGCGATAGATGTGTCCGTTATAAAGAATGTAAGAAATCATCAATTGTTGTGCATTTTTGAAATCTTGGGCCAAATTACTTCCATATGTTTCTTAGCCATATCAGCTCATTTTGTCGCTTAAGAACCTTGTTTCATTCATATGAATGCTGATTCCCTTGTTAACTACATTAGTTCCTCACCACCTCTACAACGCGTGAAAGCGCATTTAACTCTGATTCGCCTCTCTCGACCCCTGTGGATTTTCCCGTTCTGTTTTTCATCCTTTTTTCTCTCTCTCGGCTACTGTGGGTTTTCTACTTTTGTTTCTCACCCTTATTTTTCAATTTTTCGATGATAACTTTACGTTTTATATATCAAAATCACTTTTGTTTTTTCTCATTTACGTCTGTCAAGTCTTGAAAAAGAACGCCTGCTTTTGAGCGCTTAAAACATGTCTACTGTTGTTTCCAATTTATATATTTTTGAAGCGAATGAAGTTTTTTTTTTATCAAGTTTATCTTACCACTTCATTTTTTGGGATTATTTATTTAACATCATAAGTAATTTTACCCACTGGTGGTTTAGCAAATGGGCAAAATGTTTTATTCCTGCACACAATTTCTCAATTTAATAACATAGAAAAACTGGTTTTGTTACGTAGTGAAAACTGCAGCTTAAAATGAGACTTTTTACGTGCAGAACCGTGAGTGGGTTAAAATTTAAAGTATAAAAAAATTGAGTACAGGTAAACCTACCATAAAGTTTGGAAAACTGAAATAAAATTTCAAATAAATGAAAGAAAAATAAATTTATGAGAGGATAACTAACGATCATAGTAGTTCTCTTTTTCGAACTTGTTTGTACATATATATATACTCTTTTTTCAGCAATAGAGAATTGATGGCCTCCTCTAATTTTGCTTCTGCTCATTTTTTCTATACCTTAAATTTAAAATTATGAAGAATTTATGATGAAAAGTTTCCCTCGCTATATAGTATCCCCTTAACCTTTTCGCTGCTATATATCTTTAAAAATCATCATTCTAATTTAAGACGGCCTGTATTTTTATTGTTTGGTATATTCATGAATTTCTCACAACTGTTTTCCACACTTCCTCCTTAAAATGTTTAATTTCGCTTCGTAAATTGAAAACTTACTATTTTCCGTCTGTTTGTCTCTCGTGCCTCTAATATTTGTTCAAGTAATATTCTTCTTATCCAGCAACTTGTTTACCTTAAGGCTAGCGTTATGGAGCGAAGGTTGCATTCGAATATTATTGAGGTAACCTAATAAATTCTCTTATTCTAACATAATTCGATTGTTTTACTATTTCATTTTAAAGTCAAACTTTAAGTTGCTTAATGTTCAAAGAAGTAAAATAGTTTGTTTCACCTTAAATTTTATTGCTGACAACAAGTGCTCGAATGTGTATGAAATTTCCCCTGAACGTAAGCGCAATCCTCTGTATTTCGTAAGCTTTCGTATTTAGCTAAAGCAAATAACTTTGTGAATACGAGAGATTGCTGAATCTCTGATCACCCCTTTGAATTTTCTAAATCTTTTAGCATTGCTAATCATCGATTGACTTAGAATTTTGGGAATCCTATTTCATTCTAAAAAAAAAAAAAAACTCTCTATCGTCCCCAAATTTCTAAACTTTTAGAAATCTTATTGTTGGGATTTAATTAATATTGAAGCCTTTCTGGTATTTTCCATAATTCGGCACTGACTATGGCACTTACTATCTATTTTTCAATGGCACTTACTTATGACACTTACTTACTTACTTTTTATGGCACTTCTATTATTACCTAACAATCTATTTTTCAATTCCTACTATTAATTCACACTCTCCCTATATTTTGTTCAAATTTTCAATCGTTGATAAAGTACTTTTTTTTCATCCACTCAAGTTCAAATAAATTTTTTTGAACTTGTAGTGGATGACATTTGATATTAATACAGTGTTTTTTCAAATATTAATTCATTAATTAAATAGGGATGAGCGAAAAACGAAATGGAATTTTCTGATGGGTTAAGCGTTAGGCATCGTTTTAAATTTTACTATAAGCGATTAATTTTGTCACATATTTTAAAAATAACATCAGTGATAATTTCTAACTTTTAGCTCTATTTGAGCAAAAAACTAGTTTATGGCACACATTTAAATATTTAATTTTTTTATAATCACTGTGTCAGATAAATTCAATAATGAACATTACGTGGTAGCACGTGTGGTCTACGCCATCAAATTTATACTTTTATAATTGTCTGATACCACGCGCCTTTTTTTTTCTTACCAATTCCTACTATTAGTTCACACTTTCCCTGTATACAGGGTGATTCTAAAAAGATGGGCAAGATTTTAGGAAGTGATAGTACGCATCCAAGCAAACAGTTTTTATCAAAGAATGCATGGTCGAAAACAAAACGCAAAGGTGCTGGGGCATTTGGAACGTTGTTTGATGCAAACGTGAAAGCTCCATTCCTGTTGCTAGTTACTGCACGGAGTTACATGTCGCCAAACTTTCGGCCGCTGCAGGGAAAGTTCGTGATAGGCCTGGTGTGTTTCAGAATGTTCGAATATCTTTTCTTCGCCGTTGTACTGCGTGCATAGCCGCTGCCACCCACTGTTTTGAACACTTATTGTAATCACATGCCATTAAATTTGCTTTTATAACTTAACTTCATCGTTCTTAATGTGTTTTTTCCTCATATTAGAACATAAACTTTGGCTCCCTCTAGCGGCTTTGCGTTTTGTTTTCGACCATGCATTCTTTGATAAAAATTGTTTGCTTAGGTGTGTACTATCACTTCCTAAAATTTTGCCCATATTTTGAGAATCACCCTGTATATTTATATACCTTGTTCAAATTTTCAATCTTTAATAAAATATTTTTTATTCATCCATTCAAATTCAAATACATTTTTGAAAACTTTTAGTGGATGACTCTTGATGTTAATACAGTTTTTTCAAATATTAATACAATAATTAAATTTAATTAATTTGTTAAATTTAACACACTAATTAAATTTAATTAATTAATTAAATTTAATTATGTCATAATTAATTAATTTTCGTTTCATATGGGAGAAAAAATTGTAATTATTTAATAAAAAGTAACAAAAATAAAATTTAATTAATTCATAAGTAATTAATTTTCGTTTTATAAATGAGAAAATTTTTTAATTATATAATAAAAAGTAACTAAAATAAATTTTTTCTTTGTTGAACTAAGTAGGAATTGACTTTAAAATGTCTTTTTTATATTACTCGTTTTTAAATAATTCATTTTGCTTAACCATTATCGTACTAAGCTGAAAATGTGCTGTATATTTATCGTACTAAGCTAATATGCTTAAATGGGGACGTGTTGCCTCCTAAGTTTACTATAAAGTTAAAGTTACGTGATTGATTAATATTATAGATGAATTGAAAGCGATAGGCGAAACATGGAAAGATGCGAAGTATTTTGCCACAAGTAGAGTAGAATGGAGAGTTCTGCTCCAATTAGGAGTGAAGAGGAATCTGCATGCATGTATATTTGGTTACTCTTATAGTGCTTGCATTTATAAGAAAGGGCAAGCATTTAATTTTTCATAATTTTACGAATATTTAAACTAGCCCAGAAATTCAAGTGGAACAATAGAGGTATTACCCTTTTATTAAGAATCCCCCACTTTTCCCCGTAAGTAAGTTCTGCACAGAGGAGCTGCTACAAAAAAATATCAGTTCATCCAAAGCATGAGCAGAGCTTTTGCAGATGAACGTGCGGCATGTGAAGTGAAAGCGCGAAATCTCTCAAATGATATTTCAAACCATAGTTATAATTTTAATAGTGCGTGATAACTGTATACAGCTTTGCGGGAAATATCTGGTCATCTAAACGTAATTAATACACGAAATAAGATGTCAACTTTCTTCATTTGTTGCACTATTGAGAATACTTGGCGACACTTTTACTCTTTGTTAATAGAGTAGGCAAGTTTCGCGATATCCTTACTCTCTACATTTTTTCTTTTCCCGTTATCATGATTTCGGCAAATCTTGCTTTCAAACCGGGTTCAAATTCCATCAATGGCTGGTCGATACGTATTCCGCATCCGTCTCGCACCGACCACAGTGCTGACGTGAAATATCCTCACTGTTAGGTGGATCACTTGTGCTCTTCCTCTCCATGTAACGCAAATGCGGGTTAGTTCAAACAAACAGTCCTCCATGAAGGCAAATTTTTCCCAATACTTGATCCAGGAGTTCCCTTGTCTACCGGATTGGGTTCAAAATTACAAGGCTACGGAGTTGAACATTGGTAGTCAAAAACCAAAAAATTGGGTCTGCTGTTCAACGACGGTAATAAAATAAAATAAAACGTGCGTTTCTGTATAAATTTGGTACATACTTGCGTAGGAGAAAAGATTTGCCGAAATCTTTGTGACGGAGAGGGCAAAGTTGTGGAGAGAGAGAGGAAATCATATAAACCTAAAACGCTTATTTTATTTTATTACAGTCGTTGAACAGCCGACCCAATTTTGGGTATACGACTACTAATGTTCAACTGCATAGAGAGGAAACATAGTTACATAGAGAGTTAATCCTCACACGGTCAGCCTGACGGCTCGGTGCAAGCCTTGTGTGGAATTCATATCTACCAACCATCGCTAGGATTCGACCCGGTTCACCTCATTAGAAGGCGAACTCTCTATCCCCTGACTCACCGCGGCTCTAGATTTACTTTGCTTACTGAGCCAGTGAGAGAAGGCTTGACTTTTTCATGCACAGATTTGCCACTTGAAAAAAAAAGAATTCACCTCTTCTGAAATCTTTCATCGTCACGTAACTGCATAAAGTGCTGATAAAAGTTACTAACAACTGATACTTAAAAGAAGAAAACAAAAAAACCCCTCGTTTCTAACCTGATATTCGGGGTCATCGAGGGAGAGACTTTGTCTTGTTAGACCAAGTTTGCGTCTGCGAGCACAGATAGACGATGGCCACGATTTCCTTGGTTTCTTTGATTGCTCGAGAAGTAGCTTGCTTTCGTTATCTTCCAGGTCTTTGGTATCTGATTCACTCACACTTTTGTCTTCGCAATCTGAATCAATCTGAGCAGGTTAAACATTAAAAACTAGTTAATATGTTGTTAAAACTAGCTAATATGTTACATCTAAAAACTGATAGTGAAACCTGTGTAATTGACCACTTAATTGATCAACTTAACGAGATCATGTAATTCCTATATATTAGGGGACCGGAAAGAAAGTCGTCTCGGCTCATTAAATATTCGTTAGTCTTAAGAACAGAGTAATTTTTTTAGATTCATTTCGATTCATTTTCGATCCGTCATTGAAAGGTTGTTGCCAACGGCATTGAAAGAATGTTGAATACTTTATTGATTTAAAAATAATATCTTGATAACAAATATCAAATGCGACGAAACGACATTACTTTCCGGTCCCCCTAATATATCATGCTGTTCATGTTATTCATATATTGCTTAGATATTACAACGTAGTAACAAAGTGATATCGTCCTAATCTACGTTCTACCAGTGTAGTCAATAAGGGGCGCTACTTCAGTGTAGTATGGTAGCGGCCTTCAACAAGGCATTATGGTCTGGGGTGCCATTTCTTTTGATAGCCGGACCCCTTTGGTCGTCATTAGAGGTACACTTACTGCACAGCGGTACGTCGACGACATCCTNTAATGACTTTTTTATGAGCAGGACAATGCCAGACCACATACGGCACGTGTTGCTATGAACTGTCTGCAAGCTTGTCAAACTCTTCCTTGACCTGCCAGATCACCTGATCTCTCTCCCATCGAGCATATCTGGGATATGATGGGAAGGCGATTGCATCTGGCACGGAATGTTGATGACCTCGTTCGACAATTGGATCGAATTTAGCAGGAAATACCGCAAGAGATAATCCGGGAGCTTTATCGGTCTATGCCACGCCGTGTGGCAGATTGTATCCATGCTAGAGGCGGGTCAACACCTTATTGAACTTGTTACTGTAACTCTGCAATAAATTATTCAACTGTTCTTAAATTTTATTCATTTACTATTCTGTACATTGTCTTCCTATCCACCAATTTTCGTTTCAATCGGACAACTCCTTCTTGGTGCGTCGATTTTTTTGTTATAGAGTGTATTTTAATAAATAAGATTATTTACAGACACAGTTTAATTTAGTGCATTACATAAATTTAATTTTAAACTGGCAAGCTTAAAAAAATTACAGGTTACCTGTAGTTATGAAATTTGTGTTACTTTTTTTTATCATAGATAATTTTTAATATCAATACATTCATGGAATTAGAAAACTTAGCTGTATATTTTTTTAAAATTTGTTTCGTTTTAGTTACAAGCCTAATTTCTACATAAGTCTTCATAAGTTTCTCACATGGTCAACTTGTGGCGTAACTACCACTACGATTATTAAACATCAATTCACTTGTATATAAGACATGCTAACACTATTCAATTTAGAGGTACATTTTGATAGATTAAAGTTGGCATTGTCTAAAGGTGTTTCCTTAACAACTGGTGACCGCAGGATGTGATTACTTTAACATTGCGAAGATTTTATATGGATAAAAAAAAATGTTTGTGCATCACCACTATTTCCTGATTTATCTTTCTATTAAACATGGAGGAAAGCGTAAACGATAATTTAAATTCATCAACTCAAGATAATGTAAATTTAGAAGTAAACAGAGTGGATGTAAAACCACCAGTGTTTTGGCGACATAAACCTAAATTAGGGTTCTTACAACTTGAATTACAGTTTGCTAATTGCAATATTACTCGTGATTTAACTAAGTATAACATTGTCGTTGCCTCATTGGATGGAAATGTCTTAGATTTTGTAGTGGATATTTTGTCAAATCCGCCAATGAATGGAAAATACGACGCCTTAAAAAATGCATTGACAGATACTGAAGATGCCCGGTTAAAAAAGGTATTGGTTGAACTTAATCTTGGCGATAAGCGTCCGTCTGACTTGTTACGACAAATGAAAGGTTTGGCTGAAAATTCCATTTCTGAGGAATTGTTAAAATCACTTTGTCTACAAAGGTTATCACAACAGGTTCACGCTATATTATCTATCAGCTCAGATTCTTTGGATAAAATTGCAGAGATGGCAGATAGAATTATTGGTATATTCAGCTCAACAGAGTTATATACAGTGAACAAAGTACCCAGTAAAACTTTTGAACATAGTAACATTAATAACGAAAAAATTAATTCCTTGGAGATTAGTATTACAGAATTAACTGGGAAATTTTATACATTCATCACAAGGGGTAAATCTCAAAATAAATCTGTAAGAGCTCGAGATCGTTCGAGATCCCGTGCATTGTCTGAAGGTCTTTCCCCACAAACTCAGGAAGAAGTTTAGGTTAGCTTTTAATACTATTTCACATATTTAGTGAAATTTCTCCATGTAACTTATGAGTAGAGTAAAATTTATAAGAAATGTTTTCTTTCTATTCCGCTTTAGAATAACATTTAACACACTTCTAGAAAAATTTAACTTGTTTTAGCAGACAGAATAAACCGTAGACTGGTGGTCAGAGTTTGCTCCCTTTTACAATACAGGATAAACGGTTCTTGATAATAGAAATACATTTATAAAAGATGTGGGTGGTCAGATTGACAGGTTTCACTCTATTTGGTCAACACTAAACATGCCACAACCGGTAAAAAAACCGGTTATTGTATGATGAATTGTAAATTTTCGGTATGTTTAGTGTTAAACAAATGTCTTGTTAAGACAGTAGTGTCTTTTAATTTATGCTTGGTAATGACTCCAATCTGTATTCACTTAGCTTTTGAACAGTGGCAGCCATAGTTATAAAAGTGGTGTCTAGGTATGATAAAGTGGCTATTTGATGCAAAACGAGACCATGTACAGTACCACCTAGTGGGAAAATGAGGAGTTGGTTTCAACAGTGGAAACGGTTTGAGATATGGAAAAAAAGTGAATTTAAAAATTGTAGATCATGATCGATTTAGCATGAATAGACGTTTTGTGCTCATCGATACTGAAAAAGAACATTTAAAAAGTTTTATTTCTTTGTCCTGATTTCGTACAAAGTGAAGTGACGGAAAAACTATCACCAAAATAAGTTTGTATTGATAATAAAGGTTAGAAAAGTTTAAGAATCAAAAATAAAAACATCTCGCAATAACTGAATCTTTTTTAGGACGTTTTATCATATTACAGTGTAGAAAGTCAGAACAAAGAAATATGTTTTAAATATTTTTTTCTTAGCACTAATATCCACCAGATGTCTATTCGTACAAAGTCACTTATGCGACTTAAAACTTTTTAAATCACTTTTTTCTCATATTGTTCCCTTTTCGAGATAAATTCTAAGGTGCTGCACACAGATTCATCTTGTAGCAAATAGCTTATTTACCACCGCTTTTACGTAGATAGTTGTAGCCCGAGAGGATGAATATGGATTTTATTGAACACCCTACATATTGAGGATGGTCATTGTGAAACACCTTGTATTGGTTAGCTAGAATTCTGCTAAAAAAATTAAGGTTAGAAGTATTCATGAATTAAAAATTTACATAAAGTAGTAATAGAATGGCATTATTAAAAATAGCTTACTTTTTGTTCGTTCTGATTTTCTTCCCTGTTATCTGAAAGTGTGATAGATGATTCTCCTAAACTAGAGATTTCATCAAATGTTTCCCAGTTACTGTTTTCCTGTATATATATATAAAAAAACATTTAACACACATAATTACCATGTTACTGAATAGTAGTCAATATTGAAGTACTAAGAGGAAAACGGGGCTGACATTTCAGAGAATTTAAGAACATTTCTTCAAAAGATAGAGCAAGCAGGAAAGCTAATTGCTTGCTCATTAAAAAACATTCTAATTAAAGAAGAGAAAATTATGAAGACATTTTAGAGAATGTAGGAATATCAGTTTTAGAATCAAAATATAGAACAAGCAGGAAAACTAATTGCTTGCTCTGGCATTTTAGAGAATTTAGGAACATCAGTTTTAGACTAAAAATATACAATAAAAAGGAAAGTTAATTGCTTGCTCATTAAAAAACATTTCAATTAAAGAAGAGAAAATTATAAAAGGAATAAAACCAAGAAATACAAGTTTTTTTACTTAAGTCCGTATAATATACGCTCTTAACTTTCGAACAGCTACAGCTATATAAAAGTGGTCATGAGGTAAAATAAAGCAGTGAAATGCTACAAATAGAGAAAGCCACTTAGTGGACACCTGAGAAATTAGCCTTCCTATCGCATAGACAGTACCATAATGCTCTTTAACAGCTTTGCTAATAACTTTTTTCTTTTATCCGGTATTATTTTTAAGATAGGTACACAACTCCAAAGTTTTTCAACAGGTGGTGCTGCAAGCAGCCTCATCTTGAAATACATAGCCATTTATACTGCTTACATACATTAATAATATAACTTCATATGCGTAAATATAGACATTTGTGATCACCCTATATCACTGATAACAATTTTGAGTGTTTTTAGCACCTTTTCCCATTATGTTCTTTATTTGGGTATTAAATTAACCATTACGAAATATATTCTGCCTGCTTTATTTTATTGGAAGCTATATAATTGTCTTTCGCTGGGTATCTCTCATAACTTTAAGTACCAAATTTCAATAATTTTAACCCATTTCATCTCTCTTTTTAAAACGTTACTGTATTTTCTTTCCAACTTAAATATTAATTCATGACCCCTAATGGGAATAGGTTTTTACGTTTATTTTTACAGAGATTTAAAAAAGAAAATGTTAAAAGGGGATATTATGAAACTCTCCAAGCAAAAATGCAGCAATTTAATACAAAAGTCTTAGAACAGTGGTCATCAAACTTACGCAGCGTTTGAGCTACTCTAACATTTTTAAATCTGTGAGCTACTGACCTAAAGAACTATAAGCCTTTATTTCTTAAAAAAAAAATCTTAGATTTGGTACATCAACTCAGTGGAGGAATTAAAGTTAGCAAATCGGAGCGCTAAACCAACTACCAAAAATGCCCCACGTGATCGACGGTTTGGCGATCACTAGTTTAGAGTTATATCAGTGCCTGGATTAGAATTATGAAAAATTATAATGCATGTGAATTTTTAAACAAGAGATTAGAGCTTCTTACAATAAAATTGATTTTAAAATTAAACTTTTAAAAGTTATTAGAATACTTCTAATCGAGAGAGAAGTTTTTTGATAAATAGCTGCAAATTTAGCAAATCTGAGAGTGAAAGTAACTACCAAAAAAATGCCCCAAGTGATCGACGGTTTGGCGATCACTAGCTTAGAGTTATATCAGTGCCTGGATTAGAATTAGGAAAAATTATAATGCATGTGAATTTGTAAACAAGAGATTAGAACTTCTTACAATAAAATTGATTTTAAAATTAAACTTTAAAAAGTTATTAGAAGTCTACCTCCAATCGAGAGAGAAGTTTTTTGATAACAGAGTCTTTCTCTTGGGATTCTTTACGGAGAACATCATTTTCTTTCTGCAATTCTCGCACTTGCTCCATCTAAAGAATGAAAGAAAATATGCACTCAGAGAATTATAAGTTTTAAAAATTATGTTTAAAAATTAAAAGCGAATTTTTTTCTAAGTAATTACATGTCTAAAAGATTATATTTTTTAATTAAAGAAATTGACATTAAAAATATTACATTGTTTGATAGTTAAAAGAAAATGTACATACAACCTTTACTGTCGGTGTCGATTCTCATACGTTCGACCTTTTTGTGCCCGTATGGTAGGCATCGCAAGCCAAAAAATAAATATTAGTTTTTTTTACCTTACTTTCGTAAAGGGATCAAAAGCTACAATTTCTTTCAATTTTATAACCGTCGTTGAACAGCCGACCCAATTTTGGGTTTATGACTACTAGTGTACGTACTAGCGTATGACTACTAGCGTAGCCCTGCAATTTTGAACCCAATCCAGAAGACCAGGGAATTCCTGGATCAAGTATTGGGAGAGATTTGTCTTCGTGGAGGGCTCTTTGATGCAACTAATCCATTTCCGTTACATGGTCAGGAAAACCACGAAAACCTTCCACGGTTAGCCTGACGGCAAAGGAACTCTAACTCATGATCCGGCTACCACTGAGGATATTTTTGCTTCAGCATTGTGGTCGGCGCGACCCGGGAATTCGAATTAATCAGCTATCGTTGTGATCGAACCCGGGCCACCTTATTGGGAGGCCAGCGCTCTGTCCCCTGAGTCATCACAGCTCAAAAACTACACATTATGATTTGTGCACACATACAGAACAACTTCTGCAATTTAAATCATTAAGAAAGTTAAATCAGTTTATTTTGTTTTGTTTTAAATACTTACGGCATAACTTTTTATCACAGATTCCAGATCACTAATCATACTTTTAAGATATTTACTCAATTCAGGATCATTTTCAGAGTACTTCCTCCTTTCCTCAATCTCTTTTGTGTAAGTAATATCCAACAACTGAAAATTATTTAGATAGATTTGATTATTTGGATAGTTAACTATACACTGTTAGAAATTTCTTGGAAAAAATGGTTAAATAACAATTTATTTAATTGTTATCATATCATAAAAAAATAAAACAGTCAAATAACCATAAAGTTACCGAGAAAGACAACAAATAATAATGAATTAAAAAAATTTAGAATTATGTTAGCTTTATATGCACTTTAGTTTTGTAAATGATTTTAAAATGCTGAAAAATTCCGATTTCCCGGTTTACGTTTCTTTCCCACTCCGTACGAAGAGTGGGAATTCAGCTATTATTATAATGAAAAAAATATTTTATATCTGTCCAACTGTGTCTTTCTCCTGTCTACACAATCATTTATGTTGGATGGGTTTTGAAATTTGGAAAGCTGGTGCAAAGGTATATTTTAGTCCCCAAACATAAAAATTGTTTAAAAATTTCATTTAGTCTGCTAGGTAAGGACGTTTGTAAACGAATTTCTTCGTAGGTTTTACGTTAGGCATTGTTATAAAATAATAATTCTTTAATTTTTTTTCGAAATATTTAAAAGATATAATCAGATACTTTATAGTAACTTTCTTAAAATGTGCTTTGATAATCGTAAATGATTTATTATAATCGGTAATTGAAAAAAAAGAACAAACAAAATTTATCATTTAAGTGAGAAATTAATTGAGAAAATTATTTAATTATGGAAAATTTGAGCTATCTCAAGTTGACAGAGTGCAATGTACTTATTAATTCTATTAATATGCAATATTCCTATTATTCAATTAATTTTTTGTAATGAGTAGAACTTTTAAAACAAATTTTGTTTAATCTAATAACGTAAATTCATCGGGAGAGGCAAAAAATAATAGAAAAATAGAATTATTTTATCGTTTTTATTAATATCGTTTTTAATAGCGGTGGTAAGTGCCTTTTGGTTTTTATCATGCTGCCTAATTATATTAATAATTAAGATTAATAGTAGTGATTTATTTATTACTAACTTTTCGTTCCCTCCCTTCGGATAAGAATCATTCAACTATAGTCATTAATTAAAACTGTATTGTCTTCTAGGGATGTGTTAATCTTGGTTTGGTAAATGTTCATTTTTTGTATATTGAAACATAAAATGTTAATAATTATTTTTACATAAAATATGACAATATATAAGTTGAAATATTGAAAAAATACACCGATATTATTTTATAAATATTTTATCATTTTTTTAATATACCTCTGTTTGACATTCTGTACTTTTTACAAATGGATCATCTTCCCCTGTTTCTCCTATGACAGATCGTTCATCCGAATCTTCACGAACCGCCATCATTCTGCTTAACCGGCCTCGGTTATCTGGTGGCGGTGATATCTAAAATACACGTTAAGTTGATATGAGACATGCTTTTTAAAATAATACTTTTCATTTGAATTTGTTAATTAATTTTAAATATATACCCATATTATCTTTGTCCATACTTTTATTTGGCAAAAAGATTATGTGCCATGGGGACATCGTAAAAAAAGAAACTGATTAATTGATTTGCTTGTTTATTAAACGGCTTGTTCCACAATAACTATTCCTATTGCTGGATGATTGTAATTAAAACTGCACAACCTACTACTGATCAGATTGACTGTCCAGTAAAACTGGCTTTAAAAAAGAATCACCGATCGGAATGACCGGATATTTCTTCTGAGAATACATATTTATTATCGGAATTATCGAATATTATGCATATTATCGGAATTTAATTATTTCGAAAGAATTAAAACACTTTTTAATAGGTGAGAGATAGATTTCGCTGTATTCGTAATAAGACATGTACTAAGTAAATAAATAAAAATATATAAAATCAAATAAATGAAAACCAATAACTAAAATTTATTAAATAAATAATCTCAAGAAACTGAAGTGGTGAAACTTTACTTGATTCGCTTCAAAAAATATACAAAATGGAAATAACAGTTGACATGCTTCAAGCTCTCAAAAGTTGTCGAAAGTAAAACAAAAAAAATTGAAAAATCATAGTGACAGAGAGCGGCAATTCAGAACAGAATGCATTTCTACGTGCTATGAAGATGTGGCGAGGAATTCATGTCGCTAACAAGGGAATCGGAATTCATATGAATGAAACAAGATTTCAGAGCTTCAATGCCTAGCCTTGAGAATGCCTTATTTTTTGAGTGTTCGAAGCTTTAACTACTTCGACTTTAACCACCAACTTCATATGTTTTTTTAAGCAAATGAAGTTTTATACCATCTTTGATTTAGTTTTCTAGAATTATTTATCAGACAGTTTTTCTACATTTGTAGAAATAAGTTGGAAAAAAATGATTTCCTGAAAACGAAATTGAAGTTTTTAAATTCGCATAAAATGTAAAAATAGAGGCACAAAAAAGTAATCTATGTTACACTGCCAAACTTTTGATTGTTTATAATCTCATAAAATGTAATAGATTTGCAATAAATTATATATCAATCAATTAAATAAGTCTCGAATGAAAAAATATTGTTTCCAGGAAATGCGATTGAAGCTTGTGAATTAGAATGAAATTTAAAAATAGAGATATAAAAAAAAAACGATTTCTATATTATATTGTAAAGAACACGACTGTTCACAATGTAATAAACAATGCCGAAATGTAAAGTAACTGAAGTCTCTAATAAAAAATAAATCAAACAAGAGAGAAAGCAAAAAACGGCTTCTTGAAAATCGCGAAATTAGAGAAAAATGAATGAAACTAACAAAGAGAAACGGTATTCTACAGTGTCAGTTGAGAATATGATTATGATCTCGTACAAATATAATAGAAATGCTGTAAACTGTTTCTGATGTCTTGATTGAATAAAAAAAAAATACGAGAAAAATTGATTTCCTAAAAAAGAAAATGGAAGTTTTAAAATGCTCTCCCTATTTATTGACTTTTTATTCTTCCTTTCTGAAAAATAATTTTAATACATTGTTTTACGCACCATAACATGTCGAAGAAAAAAAAGAAAAAGTTCGATGCATTGTCCTTTTCCCCCCCTAAAAATGATTAAATAAAAAAAGAAAACGAGCAAACAGAAACTGTGTTTCCCGATTGCACAACTGTATACACACAGAAAAAAAATAAATCTGTGAAGCGAGTAAGTACCATTCCGATAATCCTTAAATTTATGAGGATAATTTACATAAAAATTCCATTACAGTCCGAAGAATTGTGCCATAGAGGGGTTAAAACTATGTACTCAACTATTTTGTTTTCTTCTTTATTTTCTGGATTTCCGTTCGTCATTGCGTTTTCAGGATTGATATTTTCTTTTGAGGGGGATGGTGTAATGGAGGAGGCATTCAGGCGTTGCCTTGGTTGAGGCTGCTTCAGAGATGGCGTTACATCTTCACTCATTTGAAATCCCAAGGTACGTGAGAATTGTTCTAAATAAACTCGGTTCGATGTGTCCTCTGATGTGATGTCACCACTTTCGGTGCTGTGGTCTTCAAACACGAAGTGCGTCCCGTGGTTTTCTAAATTTTCCTGGAAGAGGAAATTGTGAAGTGAATTTCAATGTTTAAAATTTGACACTTGGGACTTGACAATTGCATTGAGGAAACTAAATTTATGAAGGAAAAAAGTACATCTGAAACTTTTTTAATCACATTTTTAATGCAATAAGATCCAAGATCAACAATGTTAGGCTGTTTTTCGAAGGCTTCATATTATGAAATAATGAGATATGGGCAATTAATATGATTTTATAGCTCTTGTGGGTGTGCAACAGTTATTCATGACGGTTAAGTCAAGTTTTATCATCATTTAGCCAACTCCTTCTATTGCTAATTCTGAAAATCACACAAAACATCCATATGAAGAAAAGCCATAGTTATTTTTTTTTAAATGACGTTTTTTCGATCTAATTTTTTAATATTTAAAAAATTATTCCAACTTTGCCTTATTTGGGCTCATAGAAATGTGCAAAAATACGATTATATAGATTTCGATAATTTTCATTTCAGTAAAAAATCTCACCAACGTAGGCAATTTTTGAAAACGTTTTATACTTTTTAAAATATTTAAGCTAATACTTAGTTAACATATATATTAATGAACAACAGAGATAATTTAAATGTTTTATAGTATTTAAAATACCATCATTTGAAGATATGTGTGCGAATGATATATTTAAAAAAACTAGAAACTAAGTTCTTATATTGCTAATTTATCGGTTGTTCTTGCGTTAACTATCTTCTATTGGTTGTTCTTGCGTTAACTCAAAGCTCTCAAAAAACATAAAGTTTTGTTTCAACGAATAGTTTTTTTTACAGCTTTAAATACGGTATCGTTTTTAAAATTGCCAAAGCACGCTCTTTCTTTAAGCACAACACACAATTTTCTAAATTTTCCTGAAAAATGAAGTTAAGAAAAGAAATTTTCAGTGCTAAATCTTGTAACGCACAAGTCCATTGTTTTAATACGTAGGGCACCGACTGCTAATTTACAGGATCATTCAATTATCCGAAAAATCGGCCAATTTTTCCCACCTTTTCTTCTTCTTGAAAAAAAAAATACGGAAGTGCTCATTAATATTGAAAATGGGTAAAAAAATGGCTTGTTTTGTCTCTCGGCTCTGATCCCGAATGATCAGGATAATCGGCTCAATACTGTATTTGTTTATATTATGTGTACTATCTGGCAATCGTGAGATAAGCTCTTAGGGAAAGAACAGTAATGTTGTTTTCAGTTAGGACTGCGGCACATCTCGTGATTGCCAGAGAGTAGGCTAAATCATAACTATTGTTTTTGGATTGCTTCCAATGCTTTTCAAATGTCGTAATTGTATTTTTCACTGAATAATATTTTAATTTCTATCAATACTGTAATCACCCTAAACCTCCTAATACCACTACTGTGCTTCCCCTCCCCTAAAAATAAGCCAAACAGCCTTCTAAAAGTGTATTATTATCAGTGATTTACATAGCTATTTCTATTAATCCACGGACGTCAATAAATAATTATTATACCTCCCCACAAAGAAAATCCTTATAATGTGTAAATTGTAATTTTCTGCAATAAACATTATTATTCCTAATGTTAGAAATGGGTTAATAAATACTGATGATCTTGATCATCACGAAATTTTTCCTAAAGTTATTATTTCTTAATAATTTTTCATTTCATAATTATTTTCAATAATTTTTTATTTCATAATTATTTTTAATAATTTTTCATTTCATAATTAATCATTTTCGTAATTATTTTTCAGTAATTTATGTTGTAATTTCTACTAAAGCAAGAGGATTGGCGAATAATTATTGCTATCCCTCTAAAAAAAAACCTTTCTAATATTGTAATAGTATTTTTTAGAGATTAATATTATTATTTCTAGCAACATGCGAGAGTTAATAAATAATCATCGTAACCCCCCCCCAGAAAAAAACTTGTTTCCAATGACGTAATAGTATTTTACAATTTTATGATTTATTCAATTTACAAGTTAGACTCCTTTATTAAATAATTAATGAAAAAGTATTACTTGATGCTCTCTCGGTGATAAATTCCGCTGACCATCTTACCCCCCACCTCCAGATAAAAAGCTCGTATCCAGTGATGTAATAGTATCTTACAATTTTCTGATTCATTCAGTTTATTAATAAGATTCTTTTATTAAATAATTAATGAAATCAAAAGTATTACTTGATGTTCTGTCGGTGATAAATTCCGTTGCCCATCTTGTTTTTTATCGTCCATTACTTTCCGTAGAAGTACTTTCTTCAAAAGAGGTATTTCTGATGATGAGCTATCGGGCAGTCTGCTGCTTTTTGGACTTAAGGGAGGCTTTTTACTCTCCGCACTATCCTTTTTGGGCGATAACTTCTTAGAGGACCTCGGGGACGTTGCCCCTATTGATAAGGCGGATGTTAAGATAGAAGACAAGGGATTACTCCTCGATTTTGGGGACGTCGGCTGAAAATAAAGATAAAAGATTACCTATTAAGTTTACACATAAAAACGAAATTCCCGAAGTAAGTTTTGACACGAGTTGGCTGCTTCTGTTTTATTCATGGCTCAAATAATATCCTCCTGCTATAATTGTAGATTGAAACATTATTTACGGGATTCCTTAATTTTAATTTCTTTCTTCGCCATTTTGAAAGTGGTTTATTTGATATGTGCGTTTCGTATTATTATTTGAAAAAAAAGAGATTTTTTTTAACTTTATATTGTAGTGGATTATAACAGTTTCCTTCATGAATTTGTTCGCAACATTTTATATTGAAAAATATAAAAGTTCTTGAGTTGTTCAGAAAGTAATTTGTTTTTTTCCCTCAACATAGAGCTCAATTGTATTTTTTCACAGCTAATTTCACATTTAAGTATATTTCCCATTTTGACAGTTAATATAAGAAAGCTTACTTTTTTATTTTATATTATAACTGTCGTTGAACAATCGACCGAATTTTCAGTTTACGACTCCGTACCCTTGTAATTTTGAGCACAATGCAGAAGACAAGGGAACTCCTGGATCAAGTATTGGGAGAAATTTGCCTTCGTGAAGGACTTTTTGATGGAACTAACCCACATTTGCTTTACGTGGAGAGGAAAACCACGAAAACCTCCCACAATTAGCCTGGCGGCAAGAGGATTCTAACCCATGATCCGTCTACTACTGATGATATTTTTTTACAGAAGAAGGCTTACTGTAGTTTTTTTTGGTGCCCTTTAAAATTTATTATGAATGTGAAAAGCATTTTTTTAAATTTAGGAATGTGAAATTATAGATTTTGATGAATTCAGAGAAAAAGAATGCAGCTTATTTTTATTAATATTATTATTAACATTTAAAGAAATATTATTGAACTTCTATTGATTATGAAACGTTTTTTAACTAAGTTAATAGAATTAAAATAAATATAATTTTCAATTTTCAAATAGCGAAAATATATCTAGTTTCTATTGGAACTAGTGCAATTAGACAACCATAATATTAAACAAAAACCAATATAATTATTTTTTTACTGAATGAACCAATTGTTGTAAGATTACACAATTTATTTCTCATTTTTTCAAATTCGAATTCCATGTCCATGTTTTTAGTTCGAATGTAGGCTTAAACAGAAAACAACATCTAACAGCTATAAACACCGTGCTAGTAGCTTTGCCTTTATAGTGTAAATCACGTCAACGTAACGTAAAGATACGTAGCATCTAAAACAATCGTCAGCATGCACAGTTGCCTCAATCTTAGGTACGGGAGCGTATGGAAGCTAACTTTAAAGTGCGAAATCTCCCAATTATTTAATCGTTTAGAATGTTTACTTAGATGAAAAATCAAATCAATGTCCTACCTGAATATCTTCCTTTGGAATGTGTAGTTGAGCATTTTTATCAAATCTTCCGAATTTCGGAGAAGGTTGTTTGTTGCCTTTGTCATTTGATTCTTTTTTCTCAAACGGAACTGTTAAGAAATGAAATGGTATTATTTACAAATCAAAAATAATTTCTTCATGCATATGTTAAAAGCTAAGAGGGAAATCTGGCATTGTGTACAATGCTGAAATTCTACCGATGTAAGAAAGGATTAAACATTTTTCATATAGACTAGGCATTGTATGTTCCGTCATCAATAAACAGTTAGTTTGAATAATTGTTTTAAATCGTCTGCCGATATAATAACTTCAACTCTAGCTGGTTGCTAGGCAACCAAACGACTTTTTTCTTGTTATTAATGTTTTGTTTATCGTTCGTCTGAGTATGTCTGTGGAAATAAAAGAATGTAAAAGCTAACATTGTATATTATGCTCAGTGGTCTGAAATACTACATTATTTTCGTAGTTTACTACAACTACCTTTTTTTAAATGTAGTGACTGCAAACAACTTTTGAATTTAGTAACTACTTCTACTCTAAGGAGACGAACTTTGCTGGCGAGCTTAAGTTTCGTCTATGTTCAAAATGGTTTTGAATACGAAATTGGTTTACATTAAATACAAGGGAATAATTAAGAATTATTTATTTATGTTTACATGAGTCAGTTTGTTAATTCGAAATTTTTTTTATGCATTTTTCGACAGCGAATGTTTAATTTAAGAAATGCGAAAGTATCAAATAGTTGAAATTTTTTAATTGTTTAATGCTCTTTTATTTCTTTCAAGAAATTAAGTAAATACGTTCCATTCCTTTGAAATAACATCAATGTTTCACGAGTGTGCATGTGAAAGTGCGACCGAAATGATTAATTATCAATTTTTCGTAATGGTTAATTCATGTATTAGTTATACTTGATTTTAAATACGTAATTTCTATTAACGCTCAGCTGCAGTCATAGAGTGATTTTCATTGCATCCATTGACGGATCCTCGAAGATACATCAAATTTGAAAAATTAGTTGCCTTAGAGCCGCTTTACAATTCTAAACTAATTTAAAGAAGTAGTTGCTAGAAAAATCTCAGCAAATTACTGTTTTTTTTGTATCACATTATCTTACTTTTTTTAAAAAAAAAGTAGCGCACTGCACTACAAACTGCGAAAATAAGTAGCTCCTACAATGGTTTCACTACTTGTAGTGCGCTACTTCCGACCATTGATTTTGCTGCCACTAAAGTTAGAAAACGGTTAATATGCACTTTACCAGGCTAATCTGCAGACTACGTAAAGTAATCCATTTAAGTGTGTTATCAAGTGCTTTCAGCAATTGACCAAGATAAAGTGCATTAACGGTTTCCATATCGTTAAAGTTTGTTATTCTCACCTTATCAATTAATTTGCATATTGTTGACTTGTATTTATTGCCTCGATTCTTTAGATATTGAAAAAATGGATGAATAACATTATCTAAAGTGAAAAACAACGCGAATTAAGCACAAATCAAGTTCTGAAATAGACATATAGTTTCGATTCTCTAGACAGGAAAATTCCTCAGTCTAAACTCCAAGTTTGTTATTCTCACCTTATCACTAATTGATTTGTTTATTGTTGGCTTGCATTTAGTGTTTAGACACCCATGAGGGTTCTAAACACTAAAGGTTCTAAAAGGGTTTACGATTTCCGAATCACTAAAGTTTGTTATTCTCACCTTATCAATTAATTTGCATATTGTTGGCTTGTATTTATTGATTCGATTCTTTAGATATTGAAAAAATGGACGAATAACATTATCTAAAGTGAAAAACAAAGCGAATAAAGCATAAATCAAGTTCTGAAATAGACATATAGTTTCGATTCTCTGGACAGGAAAATTCCTCAGTTTAAACACCAATTTAGTTATGGACATACTAATGTTTAAGTTCTTTAGTTGGAAGTATTTGGTGTCCCAGGTTTTAGTGTTTAGACGCGGAGGAAGGTTTTCTTGTCCTATTTATACTATAGTAACTAAACAATATATCCATTTCTGAATTTTATTTGTGCTTTATTCACGTTGTTAGTCACTCAAGTCTACGTTGCATAAAGTCATTATGTCGATTTTCTTCATTGCGATAATATCTTAAGTTGTTTTATTTTTGTTTTTAAAGTGATTTATGATTTATTCTATCTTATAATGTGTTGGTTGTTGAACTATAGTAACTTGAATTTTTAGATGGCGAAAAATAAATAAATGATATGTTAATTTCAACTTAAGCGCACATAACATTATGTTAATTAAAGTTTGCAAAATAGTTGCTATTGCTTCAGCAAAGATCTTATTTTCACGTTAACATAAGCCTAAGTAGATAACGTGCAGAATATCTAGGTGATTTTCAAAACACCTTAGTCAATTTCCAGTACTTTAACGGGTCATCCTACTTAATTTGCACATTAACCATGTAATCTGTAGAATAACTGATTTTTGCACTTTAGCAGTATTATGCACCAATGCCTAGATAAATTAAATAATATTTATCGTATGACTTATATTTTATATGTTCCCTAAAAACGTCAGGCATTGTATACAAAAGTAATTTTAGTATACATGGTATACATAAACTGATAATAGAACAAGTGTCATGCTTTTTTCAGTTCTATCTAATTCACATAAATAAATATAATATTGTATGAAAGTAAATTAAAATACATTCTTTCTACTGAGCTTACATTCTGATAACTTAGATGTGGTGTAAGGTGGACTTTTGCTTGTTACGTTTAAAGAGCCCAACAATTCTGATTTCTTTTCTTGTGCACCCAGAAGACGGACTCTTTGAAGGAGTGGTAAACTTTTATTTAATGGAGTCGAGGAATCACCACTATCTTCTGTTGAAGTAGAGGATGTTTCAACAACACTCTTTTCAGGTTTGGATCGAAATGCTGACAATTTATCTGCAAGACCTTAAAAAAAATGAAAACATTTCTCAATGCTTATTGATTGGAATATATGTAGAGATAATATGGAGAAAAAAATTTCTGCGAACAGAAAATCTCAATTAAAAAATTTCATGAACGCATTGATTAACTCTTGTAACTACTAGCTTCAATCCTTCAGTCACCACCTTATTTTGGCAAAATTTACTGATTCACTGATTTTTTCACTGTCACTGATTCATACCGCAGAGTCACTGATTTGTTTTAAAAATATTTATACTTTTATAGAACTCTATATTGATTCATACCATGGAGATGAATTGTGTTAAAAAAACAAAAAAAAAAAAAAAAAAAAAAACTGAAATCCAAAAATACAATGTACAAAAACACTTTTAAATTACTTAAAATAATACCTGAAATTTAAGCAAGAAAAAAGTGTATGTGTGGGGAGTACTGTGTTGTTAGACACACTACAGTACTCCCCCACCAAAATAATAGCTGTGATATAATTCTATGAATGGATGCTACCAGTTGATTCATTGCTGTTTTGTGAGAAGCCGTGAGAGCTGTATTAAGATCACCGTACTTTTGAGTGCTGATCGTGAGAGCTGTATTAAGTTCACTGTCATTCCTGTTTTGCCATTAGCACTCGAGTGTATACGTTGTGTGTGATCGAGACTGAGTAGCAACAGTGCGAGGAAGTAGCAAGTCAACTGTTTAATGGGTACCATCCACCGAAGTGGGAGTTTCTGTCAAGGTAGGCGTGATCACATCTTCCCCAAAGGTTACCAATGTGGGAGGAGTTACTGTGGATGTGGGATGAAAAGGTACTCCAACATAGAATCGAGTAAACATGTCTTATAAATTAGTGAATTGGTATTGTATTTTTGTAGTGTTAGACACACTACAATATGCAAGAAAATTTTTTCCGCAAAATGTTATCAACGTTTTCATTAAAATATTGTTGCTAGGTTTTATTTATTTAAATTGTGTGGATACAAATCTCGATATTTGATTTTAAAATCTTGTGAATACGAAATTTGATGCTTGATTTTAAAATCGAGTCAAATCTCGACTTTTGATATTAAAATCGCGTGTATCCGAATATCGATGTTTCATTTTAAAATCACGTGAGTACGAATTTCGATGTATAATTTTTAAGTCACTTGAATATGAATCATAATAGTGGCTTTAGATCATCTAGATGCGAAATATGATATTTTATATAAAATTGTAAAAATATGAAACACGATTCGCGATCTTAAATCGCGTCAATAGAAATCGCGATGTGTGATTTTAAATCATATGGATGTAATTTTAAATCGCGTTTGAAATGGTAGGAAAAAAGCATAAAAATGTATCTTTTTGCTCTCAATAATTCGAGAACTGCAATTTTTTTAGAAGAGGCTAATTCTTTTTCTTTTTTAACAATAGAAAAAAACTTTCCGAGATGGTGACAAATTTTCATTACACTTTGCACAAGTGTAACGAAAATTACACACTTTCATATTACACACTTTATTACAAAATTACACACTTTCATTACACACATTGACAAATTTTCATTACAGCTATTCATTTCACTTTTGTGGCTTTTTCTTCATTTAGATGGTCGTTGCAGAATACAATGAATAATTTGAACAACTTTTTCATTAATTTAAATTCTTAAACACTTACTTTTAACACTTGATGTTGAGTCCTCTCTTTTAAATTGAATCTTTCTACAAGAAAAATAAATATCAAGCATTAAAAAAAGATTTCTTGTGTTGATTGCTCATTGATAAAAGAAGAAAATCAGTAATAATACTCTCAGTTCTATTTAATGTTTTAGAAAACATGTTTTATTAAAACAGTCTAAAATTTTTTTATTGATTGAAAGATTGTGTCTTTGAGTCATCTAAGAATAACTAATAAGAGTGAGTAACATAAAATTTTTTATTTTTTTATGATTAATACCTAAAATGTTTTTTATAAATCAAAATGAAATAAAATTAAATCATTTGATTCTTGAAATATCAAACGTTAAATTAATCCTACTTAACACTAAATTGCCCAAGGATGTCATTTTGACTGCTTTTTCATTTGCAAAAAATGTACAAATAATAATGCATAAATTATTTTTTTTTCCAAGTGAAGTAAATTTTTTTATAGTTAATATTTATTAATAACTTGTTATATAACTGTAAATAATATAAAAAGTATTAAAAATTAATTACATTTCTTTAGACATTAGTTATTCTCTCATAATCCAGTCATTTTGACTGCTTTTGGACAATATAGGTATATACTAAGTTTCAGTCTTTCTAGTGTTAAAGTAAAATTATGGAAAACACTGGAAATAATTTTTTTAGACCATTGTCTAACATGAGAAAAATAATGATATAATAGATGAAGAACAAATATGAAAACAATAAAATTCTGAAAAAGTATTTTAAAAAATTACCGTTCTCGCATTGAATCTTTTCTAAATAATTTTGCTATTTTTGAGTAATTTTTCATTTAAAAAGTAAGACATAATCTTACGAATATAATTAAACCATATTTTGGGAGTCCGAGCAAAATTAAAATATCAGTGAATCAATGCATTTATAAATGAGCAAGTCAAAGAAATAATAAAATAGCGAATTAATGTAAGAGCCGATCAATAGGTCGAAAAATCACTGATTTTTTATTATTATTTGCTTTATTTATTAACTCACATTGCTGACGCGTTGATTAACACTAAACAACAATAATCATATCATTTGCTGATTCTGCCATTCTTACATACAATGATTCACATATTCGTTGATAAGGCATTGATTCATTCATTCTTTTATTTTCATTTATTTCTGTCATTAATTTGGTCAAAACATTTTATTATGGTGTTCAGCTATTTACGTAAAAAATAGTACATAATAGATTAATATTTTTTATAAACTACTTTTTTCTAAAGATCCTGTATTTTTTTTTCAAAACACCCTCTATCGGTAAAATTTGTGGTTATGTAATGATCTATGAAAAACAATAAAGTGTATAAACGAAGTTTATAAAAAAATAGCGATTTCTTTTTTTTGTCAGAACTGATTGATGTGTCATGATAAAGTGACCGCACAATACAGTACGATTTGACCACTACTGATTTATATTATAAGAAAAAAAATCAAACTTAAATTTACAGGCGTTATGAAATCCTTGTAAAATATGAGCACTGCATATGACACATACCCAACCACGGCCAAGCACCTACACCCTCTTGGCAGTTAAGAAAAAACAATTATTCCTATGGAGAGAGCCTGTTAGCATCAAAGTATACGCCAAATGGATGCCAAGCTTCCAGCGCGAACGTATTCCAAAATCGTTAACTCTTGAAGCGATGTGTTACAACCTTCTTTTTTCTTGTTTCTTACATTGTGTAAAATGAGGAAAATAAAGCTTATTGAATAATCAAATAAAAAGTAATAAGAGATAAAAGTGAAAATTTCTTATTTCACATTCGATTTGATAAGAGCGTGTCAGCATAGGAGGCGTCATTTTAGGCAGTCCAATTAAATCCAAATGCTCTTGCAACGTCATATAGTTGTTTTTTTCAAGAAAGAATGTTCTCCTTATTTATCGAAATAAGTAGGCAAATCTAGGATTCCAGTAAGACTTCGGAACTATAACCTTTTTAATAAGTTTGTGATATTTATCGTAACCCTATACCTCAATGGTCTCTTCTTTACTTACAGCGGAGTACAGCCAATTTTTTTTTTTTTTGTAACAGTCATGACAGGAATGACACGTAATTTTAACCCTGGTGAGACCACGTAGTTGGTAAACTTCTATCCAAACCGCAACCAACCAAAGGACTTATAGCTCCGACAACGATAGGACTTAAAGCTAGGACAACCAAAGGACAGCTAGGACAGATTTAATGTGTACCTTATTGAGATTCACAAGCATTTTGAGTTTTTATTGATTGACATACTTGATTAACATACTTTACTTAATTGATTGACATACTTAATTAAATTGATTGACATGCTTGATTAACATAATTGATTGACATACTTGATTAAATTAATTGACATACTTGATTAAGTTTTTTGACATACATGATTAAATTGATTGATATACTTGATTAAATTGATTGACATACTTGATTAGTTTTTGGAAAGAAACGTTTCTTCTTTTGTTAGGAGATCCGTCATCATCGCATGACTGCATTTGCTTCATCTCAATTGTATCAGCTTCTGTTGTTGTTCCCCTGTACAAAATTTTATAGAGAGTTTTTATTCGATATCAGTTTAACTATGCTTTCATAATAAAAATAATAAAAAATACCCTTCTAATTTGAAACAAGTGCATAGAATCTTATGAACTTAAACATGAAAAGTATTTTCAGTTACGAACGTTAGAAAACGAAAGTATTACTTTTTTGTTTTGTTTTGAGTAATGAAGATAAGAAATTCTTAATGTGATCACAGATTTACGAAAATGTTAGCTAGTATTTTAGGTTTAACTTTCAAATCTCCAAATATGGGCTTAAATTGCAATTTCTCTTGTGTAAAAACAGAAAACTGAAAATCTTTTGAAATGCATACTACACATGCATTTAACTTCCTTAATAATAAAATGAAAAGTTCATCTCTCCGTCTTTGTTCATCGTCTTGAAATTTGGCCCCCTATCTTTCAAAAGTTTCGATGAGATCTTTCGGTAACAAAGTTTGAAAAATTGAAAAAGTTGTTTGAAAAAGTGGAATTTCCTCATTGCTTTAACCCTTTCCTTCTCGCTCCCGTGAAAATGACGGGGTGAGATTTCGACCGCTATTTCTCACTCCCGTGATATTGACGGACTGGAGTGTTCAGTAGTAACGCATCAATAAGAATAAAACTAATTAATTTCTTTTGCCCGGAAAACATTTTATTGCTCATTTTACACATCTGATGTTAGTACCAGGATATTTTTAAGGTAATTGTAGATAGTTAGTTTATTTTAAACTAGTTGCAGCACTAATCAAATACGTAATACAAATGCAAAAGCCAAAAAAATAGGTACTTTTGTGACCGTTTTCTTGAAAACTAACCGATTGTTAAGGGGTTAACATTAGCCATTGTTATAAATTTGGACGAATCTGTTTTTTCTCCTTCAAATTTTAAAAAGATAGTTTTGTATTTTATTACTTAAAACTCCATTTAATAGAAACAGGAGTTTAATGCATGTTCTTCAGCGTTTAATTATTTTTTATATTATTTCAGGAAACATCATTGATGGCAGGCGATAAGTATTTTTTAAAGTTATTTGAAACCACGCGTTTATTTTGTTAACAGTTAATCAATAAGCATTTCTGAAAAACTAAATAATTCTGTAAAACTAAAAACATGTTATCACTGTAAATATTTAATATATTTACAGTGATAACATATTTTATGACCCCCGAATGGGATAACGCTAAAGGGAAGATTTACGTGGTAAATTTTGACTAAGAGTTGACTGCAGCCAATAGCATCATCCCAAATGATATTGAATATAGTTATTTTTTTATTTTGAAGGAATGGGCTACTAAATACGTGTTTTAATTAATTTAATATATCGTTAAGCCACAGGGATATACAACAAATAGCAAATAGATGGAAAAAAAATGGAATTATTTAAATTTTTTTTTAAATGCGTCGATATATGCCTTCCAATTTTGTGCATGTTGTTGGTTAATACTGCTACTAGAGTTGATTAATACCAATTTATTGATTATTTAATTTATCCCTCCGAAAATTTTACTTTCATTAACAAATGTAAAAATTTTCACATCAATATTTTTATTGTTACTTTGCATTCTGCGCTTTACATCCTTGAACTTATTGTTATACTTTAAAAAAAATTTGGTTTAGAAAAAAAGTAAATTTTTGTCCACTTTAAAAGATTTAAATCTTTTTTAGTTCGGAAATTTCTTTTATAGTAAATATGTGACCACAGTGATTAAATTTTCTCAACTTGGAAGTTTTAAATTTACGAAAACGAAATTTTTCGTTATATCTAGATAATACATAACTTACGTGACGTTTGGTTTTTAATTTCATACTTTGCCTACTTGCGTAGTATTGAATGTTCAATTGTAATTATTCTATGGATTACTTTAGGTCAGGACATGAAATGTCATTCAGAACTTTACATTTTTGTATTTATTTTTATATATTTTTATATTACTTATAATTTTTTGCCCACTTTAGGAGACTCAAATGTTTCTTATTTTGGAATAAATTTTTTTTATAGTAAATATGTGACCACAGTGATTAAATTTTCTCAACTTGGGAGCTTTAAATTTCGAAAACGAAATTTTTCGTAACACCTCAATTCAATAATACCTTCGACTTCTCAAATGCTGACAGATGTAGTCTAATGAACTTTTTGCAGTTCAGAAAACATAAGATAATGTAGGAAATAAAAATACGTTTATTCCAAATTAATAATAAAATTTTCTTAAAATAAATTTCTCTTAAGGTTTCAATGATTTCAGTATCTTTAAAGAAAGAAAAATATCAGAAAGACCATCTGTCAATTGCAGTCCTAGTGAGATTCTATTATTTATTCTATTATTTACTCTGTTACACTAAAGTCAAACTCTATTAACTGGAGTTAAACTTTGTTTTTAAGAGACTCTGGCTGGTCCTAAATATTCGGTCTCTAATCTTGGAAATTTCGTAGCGTGACCAGGTACTTTATAAAATGACCTGTTTTTATCACAAAAATGCTAATGTAATGAACTAATTTAACTTGCCAGCCATGCAACATTTACTTATTTTAAACAATTTTAAAATCCATTTTCATTTTTATCACACCATAAAAATATTATTTTGTTAACAGGGTGCGTAGCCAAATCTTTCAACAAAAAACTTTACCTTTAAGATTACAACAAAAAGATTACCTTTTAAGCACTTTTTAAGCACCTAAAAATATTTTAAAGCACTATATATATATATATATTAACAAAATGCAAAATTTTCAAAGACTTTACGAGGTCATGATAAAATAACTAGTTTCTGACAGAGAACTCTTTTCTTGTTTATATTATCCACCATAAAGAGGTCGAGAGATTTTTAGGTTTGATTTCAGAGGGTGGAAAATGAAGCCTGAATTTGAGAATATCTTACAAAATGCAGGTGAGTTGCACCTGAGAATGCAAGAATCTCACCGAACCCAGCTCAGTTTACGCACATGCAGACTCGCAAGTATTTCATCAAACATGTAAAATGATTGCCGCTTTCATATGCTACTGACCGGCGGTACACCGAAATGCATTGTGGTTGAATGAATTGTGAAAGCGTTGAATAGAACAATGTGAAAACCACGCTTTTGCGTAACACGTGGTGAAAATCGATATGGTAAAGAAAACAAATCTCATTTTCGAAATGGGAAAATTAAGCACTTTTTAAAAATTCCCAATAAAAAAAGCACCTACGGGCTTTCAAAAAACGAAAATCAAAAATAAGCACTTTTTAAAAACGCTACGCACCATGGTTAATAAACGCATAATAATATTTGATAATTTAATTTTTAAGGATTAAAACTCTTACGATGCTGTAGATCTTGTCCTCAAAAGTTTTTTGAGATTCAAAACATCTTTATTAATCAGCTTAGAAACGGCAGATTTTGGCTTCAATGGATCGATTTTTTCATCGCCAGATAGATTTTGACCACCTGCAGCTAAATTGGGGTCTGCAGCATTGGCGCCAGCTCTACCTATATTAGCCGCCAAGCGAGCTTCCATCAGTCGTTTACGGCCCATTGTTTGAAGTATATCCTGAAAAAAGAGAAACATTTAGTATAATATTTTGTCTAAATATTGTGCTAAAGAAAGATAAAGAAATAGAAATGATTTAATTATATTCATAGAATACGGAAAATAAGAAAACCTAGAAACGAAAATTTATAGTTTTTCGAATTTTCATTTTATTTTAATGTGTTTTCCTTATTAGTTATCTTTCTATTGGTTATGAGGAAAACGATTAAAATTTCGGTTAATGATAAAATTGTGAAAAATTTTGCTTCCACCATTTAGGAAACAATTGTCAGTAGAATTAGGATTATGCACAGTGGTCCAGTTGAAATTTCAGCAATCTAGCAAGTCAGAAAGATGAACTTTGCCTGAAACGGTGAAGAAACAATATCTTGCATTATCATCTGATACTAAACTGTGGTTAAAATATGTTCATTTTGGCTGGTCGAAATTTCTGGTGCCAAAAATTATTTTTGGCCATTTAACGATAAAATTTGAAAGCAGGAAATCATTGAAACTTGCATTATTGTCAAGCTGATAGGAACAATGATAAATTTTATTTGGCTATAGCTTCTGGTTGGAAAAGTACTGAAGCTTGTCATCAGAAATTAAGCCCTAGTTGAAGCTTGTAAGCGTAATCGAGTCGAGTTAACTTCGAATTTGGCGATAAAATTGGTTTTGGCGATCGACTCGAAAACCATTCGAACTTGGGGTGTTAACTTGAGTTACTTGAGTTAACTAGAGTAAAATTGTAGAGCTGCAGCTAGTCTTAAAATGGTCGGAATTTTAATTGTGGATAAATTCTGCTTGTAGCAATCGGAAAGCGTTTGGATGTCGTATTGTTATTTAACACAGATCTTAAATTGAAATTGGAGCATTCCAGCTAGTCAGAAAGTGGACGAATTTTCGATTGCTTGATTCCAGCTTAACATATACAAAAGGGAGTTAGTAAAAAAGTAGTAGGACATTTTTCTAAATATAAGTTTCTGTTTTAAACAATATATTTTTTTTAAATTTCCTTTTTGATGATAATATGATAATCATGTTTTTTTCATATGACATAATGCGAGAATATGTAGCACCAAATGAATAAACAGTTTATACTGCAATGGTAATGTAACATACCAGACTTTCAATGATGTTGTAAATTTTTTACGATATTTTAACAGTAAAGATTTTTTTGAATATCCCATGAAAAATTTTACGCTTTCAATAAATTGTAAATTTTTCTTTTTTAAAGAAGTAGAGATATAGATTCGAAGCTGCATTTTAGCATCAACGTATCAAAATGTTTTTCGCAACTTCAAAATGTTCTTTTTTGAATATTATTCGATAACNCCTAAATAATTGGTGGCGTAAATATTTAGTCAGTTCTGAATATTTGGTTAGTGGAAATTTCCGAATTTGTTTTGTCAAATAACGGTGAAAACTTACAAATTAAATGCTGATTTTTATATATTTAATGTTTCACCTGAACGTTATGCTCAATTGCATTTTCGTTGCACAACCAAAGCATAAAAAACCATTATTTTAGGATATTTAATACCATTTTTATTTTTTTAAATACAATTTATTGCTTGTTTTTTAAAATTTCTAACCTGTCCTACGTTTTCGAGGAGCATTTTGAACTTCTTAAGGGTGTACTAAATGCTCCACGTAGCATTTTAATGCCCGTGTAGTAAATGGTGACTTGTTTTTTTTTAAATTTCAAACTTGTTCTACTCTTTAGAGGAGCATTTTGAACTTCTTAACGGTGTACTAAATGTTGTACATAACATTATAATACCCGTGTAGAAAATGGTGACTTGTTTTTTTTTTAATTTCAAACTTGTTCTACACTTTAGAGGAGCATTTTGAACTTCTCAACGGTGTACTAAATGTTCTACACAGCATTTTACTACCCGTGTAGAAAATGGTGACTTGTTTCTTTTAAATTTCAAACTTGTTCTACTCTTTAGAGGAGCATTTTAAACTTCTCAACTGTGTACTAAATGTTTTACATAGCATTTTAATACCCGTGTAGTAAATGGTGACTTTTTCTAAATTTCAAACTTGTTATACTTTTTCGCGGAGCATTTTGGACCTCGGGTTTAGAAGGCAGTTAGCAGCTTTTGCATTTGTTTAATCATAAATTGATTTAATAATTTGAAGCAAAATTAAAATATATAATATCTATAACATATAGTATTATGAAAAGAATTAAAATTTATTTTTTGCATGCATTATTAAAAATAAAGTAAAAGAAACAACACTTAAAAGAACGTACAAGAATTACCTGCGCCTCTGGATAGTCTTTCATGGCAGCTAAAATATCTTCTCGAGAAAGACTGAAAAGTTCTGAATATCCAACAGATCTAACATCTGCTGTACGCCTATAAACAAACAGGAATAATACACCATCATTTTCATTTTATGGGAATGGCCGTGAGATCGGTCAAATATATCTCGATATGCCGAATGGATCGAGAAAAAAAAAACACTTGTTCAATACTTTACACAGTGACACCAGACTGACGCTCGTTCCCATCTTCAGAGAATAGGGGGAGGTCTAGAGGGGATCAGTCGATAGTTTTTATAAAAACATCAAACACGTGTACTTTTATTCTTTTCTTTCTTTAAAAAATCTGCTTTGAATTTCTGCAGACATTTCAATTTGTAAACAAATTGCATCCAATTTTTCGAATTTGAGAAATTTGTATAATAAATTGTGATGTTTTTTTCTAGCAAATCCAAATCTGAAAGCGAAAAACGGGAGGCAAATTTAAATTTTGAAACTTTTCCTCACCTTCATGGTTAATTCTATTTCCCTTACATAAGTAATTTAAAAAACAGAAGAAGTTAGTTCAAATAAAATTATAGTAAACAATGATGTTTCAAATGAGGAAAACTGTTTTTTTTCTCCTTCAAAAAAATTAAAATGCCAACAAATTATGACGGGATTGCGTAGTGGGGAAGTAATTTTTGAATTAGCAAATGAGATGAAACAGAATTTTCCATGAAAAGTTTCTTTGGTGGTAAAGCATCCTCTTTACTTGAGGGTCGAGTTAGGTAACTTTAACATTATTTTTTCTAAATACACTGCGCATTTATCGATATATTTGAACTCTTCGGAACTCTTTGTACACCCTATATGTTACTGTGAAAGACAAACTTGGCAAACATTGACATTTTCTGGTGAATTTTCTGGAAAATTGCTACGTAGCTGTTTTTATTTGGTTTTAGTGACATCATTCTCTCTAATAAATATTACTTAACAATCCGAGTTAAGCAGCTGATCCATTTTTGGATTTATGACTATCAATAGTCAACTCTGCATCCTTGTATTTTTCAACCCAACCCAGAGGACAAGGTAACTCCGGAATCCAAGATTAGGGCAAACGAGTCTTCCTGGAGGAGTTTTTGGTGGAAATTATCCATGAGCTGTATGACACGTCGCATTGTCCTGTCGTTGCATGCCATTATCCCGAGGAAAAACAATTTGCATGTCGGGGTGGACATGGTCTGCAAGTTCATATGCGTATTTGTGTTGATCTACCGTTCCTTCCACAGCGACAATGGAGCTAAAACAATTTCAGACCATATTACTCCTTCCGTTGGTTTGGACCCTTTCGGCAGTAGTTGGAGAGTGTTTGCTTTCAGACGTTATACGCCAACGTTCATTTGTCCGACAGAGCATAAAGCGGGATTCATCGAAAAAAGCCACTTGTTGTAGTAATGGCTTGCGATTTCCAACCTTTATAGCAATGACAGACAACGTAGAAGCATAAATCAGGCGTCTGCTAAAGAAGCCCTTACATATCAACATTCGCTGACACTAGAGGAGACACTATTGGTAGTCACTTGGTTCCTCAGGGGAAAATAGTTGATCAACGGTTACACGTCTATTTGATTGAACGCAGCTCCTTAGCTTTCGTTCCTCTCTGGCATCTATGATGAACCACATTTGCCACGCAGCTGTTTTTGTATAAAAGCATTTTGCGCTATACATTTATCACAGAGTCACACGAGCTGTTAACGAAAATAGCCGTTTCGGAAATGCTTCCACCCTTGGCCCGAAAGCCAATGATCATGCTCTTTTGGATGTCAGATAATTTACACCTTTTCTGTATTTAACCAACGATTGCAATGTTTTTCGATTCCCTCGGACCAATACTTCTTAGAAAAGAAAGACCTCAGCACAGGTTACCATAAACAAGATATTTGATCCTTTAGTAGTTCAAACGTAATGACCTCTTTCGTATTTACCACCACTGCGCAGCTTACTAGCCCAAACGTAGTGACATCTTTCGTATTTTTCATCCACTGCGCAGTGTATGTTCGTTGCGTCGGACTACTAAATTTATACGTGCTAAGACCTTCTTTCTTCTAGGAGTTTGCTCGGACATCCTTTATTTAGGCTCCAAATGAATTGCTGCCACCTACCTTCTTAAATTGGTTATTTCACATTGATGTCGTAAGCACGCGGTGGTCACATTAGTTAGACTGGCTTGTGTATAGTTACTGATGTGTTCGGAATTGAAAAAATATTAGTTACGATTTCAACATTTGATCATGTTGCAGCCGTTAAAAAAGCTTTAAAATTGTACTAAATGTATTGTTTTTTCATGCAAAGTGGTAAACTTTAACGCTTTTTTTAAAATTTTTTTAACTCTTAACAGAACAGGTGTGAAGAAAGTAAGATTTTGAATATTAGAATTGAATGAGAGGTGTCTGGCTTAAACCAGAACTTTTTGGATTTTTTTGTACAAATTTATAAAATATTTTGAAAATTTTATGATAATTTAATATATAAGCTTATTTTATTTTAAGCTTATTTTATTCTAAGCTTATTTTATTTTACAATTAATTTAAATATACTTAAAAATCTCCTAATTAAGGCAGCATTAAAACTTTAACCTTAAACCTTTGATTTTAGTTTTCAAAGAGCAGATATACTTACCTATTGAATCCATCTAAGTTTAAAATTCCAATTTCTCCGAAAAAATCTCCCGCTTTCATTTGTGTCAAAACTTTGCCAGTTTCACTAAACGATAAATTTATTTATTAGTATCAAAAAGAACATTTGCTTTAACAATACTCATTTTTATAGCATTTTACATAAAATCCTAACAAGTTTTTGACATAATTATCTATAAGTAATATGCCCTGTTGTATACTAGCTGAATATCCGTTCTTCGTAATGAGGAGGGGATAATTATTAAAAATAAATTAATTAAATCGATATTAATATAAACTACGTAATTATTCACAAAAATTCGCTGGGACAGTAATTATCGATAATGTCAACTTTCATCCATCAAAAGATACCTCAAGATTTATTCAAGTTAGCATGTCTTATATACTAGTGAATTGATGCTTAATAATTGTAGTGGCAGTTACGCCACAATGCTCCCCCACCTCAATTCTATCAGGGATAGAATTCGATGAACGAATAGCACTATTCACTGTATTTGCGAAGGACCGGGAGGGCGGTATTAAGTTCACCGGATTTTGAGAGCTTGTGGTGAGACTTGTATTAGGTTCATCGATTTTCGAGCTATTGTCATCAGAGGTGTGTTAAGTTCTCGGTTTTGTGTGTGGTCCCTCCTATGTAGCTACTAGCAATTGACTGTGAGCAGGATCCCGTTGTGTGCAATCGAGATTGAGAAGCAATAGCGTGAGGAGGACAACGACGCAGTCACAAACAGCAAGTTAACTGTTCACTGTAATCCATCCATCGAAGTCGGCGTGCTCATATCACGTCCGAAGGTCACCGATGTGGGAATAGTAGTTACTGACAATATTAACCATCACCTGTTAAAAGGCACCCCAAGATAAAATCGAGTTGGCATATCTTATATAATAGTGAATTGAAGTTTAAATATCGTAGTGGTAGTTACGCCACAGATATAGTTTAATCTTTTTTTTAGTATTTCATCATATTTCAATTCTTTTTATTACTACTCTTGGTTGCATTTCGTTTTGACAATTCGTTTTAATTATAATGAGTAAAATAGATATTTAGGCGACATCGAAATATAGAATAACTATATTAGTTAGGTCTCATGATTGCTTAAATTTATCACAACAAAGTAATTTTTATGGTGTTTTTCTTTAAGGTGCAATAAAAACCTGTTGCCACCGTGTATTTATTAAATATTTACATTAGGATATTCAGTATGTATTAAAAAAGAATCCATTACAACAATAGTAGCAATACTAATTACCAAAATTAAGTATGCATCACTGACGTCAATAATAGTTTGGAAATTTTTTACCGCTCCCAGAAACAAATAATTTATCTAATTATTTGATTTTGTAGCACGCAACTTATTTTTTTAAAAATTTCAATCATCATTGATTTTAAATTATTTAATTTTATAGAAATACATTTTAAAAATGTAACCACAAACAAAATTTAAAATAAACTACTACGATAAAAAGTTATAAACTAACATATAAAAAATATTATTTATAAATGTTACTTTTTCATGTTAACAGTGATGGTTTTAGAGTCCTTACCTTATGACTTCTAAAATGCCGTCTGCAATGATGAACATCTCTCTTGCCACTTCCCCTTTTCTACAGATTAAGTCACCCGGTGTAAAAATGTAGGCACGCATTTTCAAAACTAAGTCATGCAAAAATTCAGGTTGACATTCCTGGAATATGCTAACCTGCAATGTTCAAAAGCAATGCAAAAATTGAAAACACCAAGAAGTTGCTTTAAGGCCTGTTAACACGGTCCAAGTTCTTGAATCCGAAAACCAAGAAATTGGATGATTCGTCGACACTATCGAAGTTCTTGAAAGTTACTGATGGGTCAGATGAAAAACCTGCGTATGCGCATCGCTTACATTCCACACTATAAAATCATACTTACATGAACTCAAAGTTACAAAATAAATTCAAATGAAATCATAATAACACAAACAGACCCTAACATATTAATTTATTTGGATTAAAATATATGAAAACGGACGACAACAAAATGGCATAATCTGATGCCTGCTTGTTGACGTCACAAAACTTAAGAAGCTGACTGGTTAAGGGAAGAAGAACTTAAATGGAAAGTAGAACATACTCTACTATTATCCAAAGACTTGGACCAAGAACTTGGATGATCGTTTACACAATCCTAGCTTCAAGAAAAACAAGTTTCCATCAACAATCTTCGATCAAGAACTTGGATCGTGTAAACAGGCCTTTTGTAACATCTAAAATAATCCAAAAAGTTACTTTTTTGAGTGTCTTGAGATTGACGTGCAAGGCGAGTTCTGTCTTCAGCTTATCAGGCAAAATTCCTAAGGCTGAGTTGATATCCCCGCCTCCTTGCATGCGACCCCTGAAAAATATATGTTAGAACTCAAAACTACCGCCAAACTATTGTAATTGACTCTGAAAATCACGTATTTATTGAAAGAGCAATTGTAAGTATGATAAACCAGAAAACCAGAAAAAAATTAGAGACTTGAATACCATTAGTTGCCATCATTGTTAATATTTATGTTTCTATAAAATGTAATATTTGAATTTTCGCTGGAAAATTTGTTTTGAATAATTGTTTTGTAATTTTGCTGCAACATTTCAAAGGACAATATTTTTAATTTAAATGCATAGAAAGTGTTCTGAAATGATGACCCTTAATGTATATTTTTAGACTCCTTGTCAAGAATGAAGTTTAAAAAAATGGGAGCATCAAGGTTTTAAATGAAGAAGAAACAAAGAGGCTAGTGAATTCAGTTGAATTATGAATGATGAAGTAGATAAGAAAAATCCTTTTTAGACAATGTCGATCCCTTCATATTATAATATAGCCTTAACAGCTAGGAATTTACAGCAGGTACTTACTATGGAGGAACTATGTCCTTAATTAATCCCTAATGAGAATTCATAATTCCATTCCAATATATCTATCACGGATTTTTAATTATTCGATCTTAATGTGTCCTTTACAACAAATGTGGTGCGTGTTATTAAGCAATTTCGTGTGTAATGTGTTCATTATATGTGGCAAAGACATTAAAACAAGTAGGCCTTATATATTCATTGCAACAAATATGAGGTAAGCATTTCAACACTCAGGGTTATAATAAATTCATTACTATAAATAAGACAAGAGTATCTGGTCAATTAGGCTTAATATTCCAGTTACGACAAATATTGTGTGGATAATTAAACAATTAAACTAGTAATATGTTCATTACATTAAATGGGACAAGGGTATTCAATCATTTACGAATAATATGTCCAAGCTCATTTTACTATGTTATTATTAATTTAATCATTTAGGAATGATGTATCGAAACTATCAAATATGGTGCGGGTAGTTAAAGAATAAATAAGACAAGGGTATCTTATCAATTAGGCTTAGTATTTTTGTTACGACAAATATTGTGTGGATAATTAAACAATTAAACTTGTAATATGTTCATTGCATTAAATGCGACAAGGGTATTTAATCATCTAGGAATAATATGTCCAAACTATCGAATAAGGTGCGGGTAATTAAAGAATCAAGCTTGTATTGTGTTCATTAAATTAAATGTCGCAAGGGTATTTAAAAATTACGAATAGCATGTTCATTATAACAAATTTACACCAGACTTACGCTTATAGGCATGCGTAATTAAGCTATCAGTCTTATAGTGTGCCCATTTCAATAAATGTGGTAACGACATATAATCAATAAGCTAAATCTGTCCACTTCAATAAATATGGTGTGGGTAATTAAACAATCAGGCTTTACGAATTCATTGCAATAAATGCAGCGTGGAGAATTCATATTGTTCTTGTTATTTTGTTCTTGTTATCTTGTGTTCTTGTTATTTTGGAGCTTTCTTCCTTTTCTAGTGAATGAAACATTCACTAGGACATTTTGAAGCAAACTTATGAACAAATAAAGAGCTATCTTATGCATATTATTTAAAATGGCGTTCGAAAATATTTATTTAAATGTCATTCTAAAATGTCGCTTAAAATAATTTTGTACATTTATGTATAAGATTGTTTCAAATGATAATTAGGACATTTGTTCATTTTAATTACGTTTAGAAGGAAATTTTTAAAAATGTTGTGAATCATTCTGAAAACGATCTGCATACTGTATTTAAGGCTTAGTTTCAAAAGTGTTGTGATTCGTGCTGAAAACGATCTGCATAATGTATTTAAGGCTTAATTTTAGAAATGTTGGGAATCGTGCTGAAAACGATCTCCATAATGTATTTAAGGTTCAATTTTAAAAATGTTGTGATTCGTGCTGAAAACGATCTGCATAATGTATTTAAGGTTTCTCTCCTGAATATGCTGTATTAGTTACCTGGACCATGAGTAATCGTACCATCTCTGAACTCTTCTTTGCATATTTCTTGGTACTTTATGGTGACGCATGTACAGTTTTGCCCCATCCTGCGAAACAAAAATTTATTAAACATTTTTACATGAGATTTGCAAATAATTAAATTACGTTCAAATAAAAAAAAGTGTCTGTTTTGTATTTATCATATTTTGCATTGACTTTAGGAAAATTGTTGAAAACATGACTGATTACTTTCTGCACAGTTTTCTTTTTATTCCTGCTCTGATTGATTCATTTACCTTTTCTGGCCACCTCCGCTTCCCTTGGCTACTGTAATTTTTTTCTCTGTTTATTCTCTTCATTGTTTTCAATTTATTTCGGTAACAAAGCTTCGTTTCATGTTCCAATCTATTTTGTTTTAATCATTCATACCTTAATAATAAGAGTTTGTTTTTAACAGGTTTTCATTATCCACCTGAATTTTTGAAGCTAATGAATTTTATCCATCGACAAGTATACCTTTTTTCCAGCTTCTTGGGATTACACGAATAATAATTAAAGAAACTATTATAAATATTTTAAAGAAAAAATTATCTGTGCAGTACTTTGATGTTTATTTTAAAATAAAATACGTATCAATTCTCAATAAACAGTGTTCCATACTATTAATTGCAAAGTCGTTGAAGTGCTTTGAAAATTATGCATGTTTTATGATTTTATGAATTAGATAACAATGACCAAAATTCCAAAATATGAAACAATAAATCAAATGATTGCGATAAGCAAGTTTAGTCCAGTCTAGTTCCAGCATGATTGAGGGCACTTTGCCATAATTTTCTGCTGGTTGGAATTCATTTGAAAACAGTCTCCCATTTAAAAAGTGAGCGTTAATGTGTTTAAAAATACCCATATAAGTCAAGAAATAGTTATAGAAAAATTTTAAGACGAACTTTTATATCAAAAAGCATGCTTATTTAGGAAACATGCAAATCTCCAATATAAGGGAGAACACTTGATGAATTATTTATAATTGTTTGCTACGTGGAATTCATTTAAAACGTGTTTCATATTAAAAAGTGATCATTAATGTATTAGAAAATACCTATATATAAAGAAATAGTTATGGAAATATTTGAAGAAGAGAGTTCATATTACAAGACATGCTCCAGAATATTTGAAAAAAAAAAATAGAAGATAATATTTCTCCAGAAAATAAAGTCCGTAGAGTTTCTGCTTCCCCGGTCGCTAATAATTTACAATCTAGTTTCCATATTTTAGCAACCACTGCAAAAAATCGCTCTAAGTTGGGCGATAATTCGCTAATCGATACCAACGCCAATGCTGCATTTATTCCTATTTGCGAATGTTGGAACAGAACATTTTTCTTTGTGATTTTTTCTTCCCTTTATCTTAATTTGTCCTCTTATGAAATGTAGTGTTTTATTTTTTTTAACATCAGTTTTTGCAATTATATTTACTAAAAATTGATAAAAAAATATACTGCAATTTAAAGAAAAAGTAACTATATGATTTTCTTTGAGCTTTGCTTGTTAAACAAAGGTCATATGCAAGTTAAATAGCGATTACAATAAAAAAATAATGGATTGAAATAACGGTTTCTAATCGATAAATGCATTATTAAATTATTGAAAGCCCAGTTTATTTATTTAAAGAAGATGAAATTATAATTTTTTTTATGCGAAGTGATCGCTTACCCTATAAAATTTACTTTTAAATATATAAATAAAATTAAATAGTTTTTTTTTTTGAGACAGTAAATATTTTTGTCAGACTTAAAAATAAAATTTTCAGTGTCTTAAAATGCAAACATATTTTGGCAAATGTTTTGATTAAATATGATTTGAATAGAAAATACAAAAAATAAATATTTCTCTTTTAGTCATGGTGTGTCTAATATTTTTATTGGGCTTATTAATAAAAGAGTGACATTTATTTTTAACGTATCATTGCTACATAAATCTTGAGATCATAAATTGCTCTCTAAAGTATTTTAAAACTAAAAATAATCTTTAATTTTGATAATTTCGATCTGATAATCTCTAATAAAAGCAGTGAAAAGACAAAATTAATACAAGATTGACTCTTGATTGTTAATAATTTTCACGATGCATATTATAATGATCATATAGCAGAGTTACGAAATCAATGTCTATCATCGCATTTATATTAGCATATTTGTATTCATAATGCTGTATTGTTGTGTTTATCAGGCAATTTTTAAAAATAATTAACGATTTAAAATAATTATTGTTTCCTAAAATGCAACAGTCAAAAGTTAAAATTAATAAGAGACTGACACGTTTTTAATCGCATTGTAGTGAAACTTAAATTTTAAGAACACAAAAAATTCATATTTTTTAAAGGAGTTTATGATTTTCCCAATAATTATAATAATAATATGTAAGTACAATGGGTTATAAATTATGTATATTTTTAAATTAACGTATCATAACTTATGTATAGTATTAAAAAGAATTTAAGACTCAAAATAATGATGAAAATAATTATTGTTTTCTAAAATGCAACAGTCAAAAGATAAAATTAATAAGAGACTGACACATTTTTTAATTGTATAGCAGTGCTACTGAAATTTTAAGAACATAAAAATTTTTTTTTTAAAAAGGATTTCATGATTTTTACCCAAGATTAAAAATAATAATAATTAAAATACAATAGATGTATACAATAGATGTATACAATAGATGTTGAACATAACATATTCAACAAGTAGTTAAACATATTTAACAGTTTAGGGTTTCATAAAGTTTAAATTCTACAGTTTAAAAAAAATCATATATATATATATATATATAGCACATTACTNTATATATATATATATCCTTCGCTTCCTTAAATGTTGTCACAAAATTTATTCATAGAAAACTGTAGAAATCTTTTCAAAAATGTTCAACGTTTATGATCGTAAGATGCAAGAAACAATGATTAAACAACTCAAGATAAGATACCATATGTCAAATGATTGACATTAAAGGAAGTTTACTTAAAACATCGTTCTTAAAATTTTAATCCTGTAATGTCTTTCAAGAGGCACGATTCCTAGAAGACCTTGCGTTAAATGTTATCTTAAAGAGAAAAGAAAAATATAATATAGTTTAACTTTTAACTAGTAAAATTGTTTAATTGTTCTAGTTCGTAAAGTATGGTTGTTAAGTGAGTGAAGTAATTACAAGTATTGAGCAATATCAAGAAGGGCTTATCTCAAGTGATACTGCGAGGAAATATTTTATAAAAAATATGTATTTTAAACGATTTCATTTTTTGTTGTTTCAAACAATGTTATACTGTATTTTATAAGAAAGAATTTTAAATTATCATACATCCGTTGTTAAAACAAAATGTTTATACATTTAAAGTATTTGTTTCAATAAGTTCTTGTTTTTTTCCAGCTTTTTCAGTGTTTTTCTAGAAAAAAGAGTATTTTTTTTAAAGAACACTCTTTTGTAATTTACAAAGAGTTTTCGGAAGATAATTTGCGGGATTTAATGACAATATATTTGAAATGTATTAAACATATGGGCAATCTGATTAACGTAATTGCGTAAATTATTAATTTACGTATTTATGCCTTTACGTGTTCGATTTTTATCTCTTTAGTGTTATGACTATAAAAAAAAAGAACTAAAAAAAGCATTTTTTTCAAAAAATTCATAAAGAGAATAAAAAAAATAGAATAAAGAAGAAATATTTTTTTGAAGATTTTGTTATTATAACTTTTAAGTATTCCGTCAATGAATTATGTTTTAAAAGTATTTGACGCAGTTGCGTTCTTTTGGTGCAAAAAATGATTAGGTGCAGAAACATGACTATGCAGAAACAGAATTATGGACAAAATTTTTTCAAATTGAGTTTATTATAATTATGGAATTTCTGCAGTCGTAGTTTTCTAAAACTACTTTACTTTTGTTTGTGCTCCAATTATTTGCAAAGTTATAGCAGTTTCTGTGCAAGGTGATAACAGTGGATTGATAGACTTGTGATTTTAAGTTTATAAAAGCGTTTATCTTGAAATCAGGTTTTTCTTAGTTTACAACACCTTAATCACGATATTTCATATTACTTTTAAAATAATTGTCGGCTATTTTTCGCGAGTGTTTATGATTATAGTACACATGTTTTGAACTACAGAGTAAGAGAAAAAAGCAGAATTTCATTTTTTAACTACATTGATCCCTTACTCACGAGTATAGGTAGTTTTTTTAAGATAATGATTAAAAACATAGTTAATAGCCTTCTAAATAAAATTCTCTAAGGACTTTCTGCTTTGGGCGATAGAATTTTTCTTACAGTGTTTAATGTATACACAAAAAATACCCTTTTTTTTAAACCTAAAAATGACCATTTAAAAGAAAAGTAATAAATTATTAATAATTTTTTGTGCTAGTTTCATAAGTTTTTACTCATAATAAAACATATAAAATAGTTTTTTCTAATTTTATATTAATATTTAAAAAAAATGGTCGGAACTAGTCGAATACCTTAAGGATATTAAAATTATTCGATAAAGGTGATAAGACTTCGTTGCTAAAACTTTGTAACTATGATATATATATATATATATATATATGTAAAAAATTTGTGTTTAACCCTTTCCCATCCCTAAGGGGGGGGGGCTAAGACGTTATTCTTTTAAGGAAAGCTTTTGTGGNATCCCTAAGGGGGGGGCTAAGACGTTATTCTTTTAAGGAAAGCTTTTGTGGATAAAGTTTTGAGCGTTAGCCTAGTGTAAATTGATATTTTCTAGCATTGTCAAGCCTTTGGTCTTAAAAGAATTTCATTTACACGATTTCACATGGAAATAAAGTTAATTACTTTATCAAAATAATAAGAAGAACACGGATTTCCTGTTCCTCCAGAATAAATTTTAGGAATTAAATAACGGTCTACCTGTCTATTTAAATAAAAAAAAAATTTAGTCTTAAAATTTAATGAGTTACATAACAAAATGCTGGAGTTTTTTTTTTTAATATGAATTTAATTTAGGATATACGGTACTTGTTATTAAGGCAAAATATTTTTAATATAAAGTGCTTGAATGTTAAATTTTTTATTTTATTTGAAATTAATGTACAATACAGTAAAAAATATTACGTTTAAGACTGCATGTTTCCTTATTTACTACCTAGCAATTTGAGTAAGAATTTATTTTAAAAATTTTAATTAGTTTTTTTTCCAGATTGATCAGTTTTTTTTTCCATTTAGTAGTTGGATGTTGCAAGTTTATACAATTTAATATTAATAAACTTTTTAATTATGCAGGAATGTTTGTGATTTTTTATTTCATTTTTTTAGAAGCATCAAAGAAAATTTTAATGTAATTGCCATACACGAGATATTGAGAAGGCGAGTACAAATCATTAAAACTTGCTCTGTGTGTTGTACACAAATAAGATTTTTTTTTATTAAATTTTTTTTTTACCTAAGGCTTCTCAACTATCATTAATTTCTTTTCAGTGATAGTTATTTTTTATTTACTTTCTCAAAAGGGCAAAAACTCTACTGCTCGATGCAAAATTTTTTTGCTTATCTTATTTCATGTTTCACTAGACTAATTTATCAAATACTGAATTAAGATTTGTTTTTCGAAGACACTATCTTCAAATGAACTAACGATTTTTTTGCGAATGATATGTTATTTTTTCAACTGTTTGCAACAGTTATTACGAAAAAGCTGTATTTTTAAAACCTTTATTTTTCGAGAATTAGTTGTTGATCGATTTCTTTCAAAATTTGTATTTTGTGTTTTGAAACTACACAGTTTAAAATGAAGTAAAAATTTGCTTACCTTAGCATTTGAAAGTTTTATTAAAACATAATAAAATATTATTAAAAAAATATTATTAAAGAAATAAAATATTATAGAAAAAATAATAAAATGTTATTAAAAAAATTAAATGTTATTAAAAAAATGAAATATTATTAAAAAATATTATTAAAGAAATAAAATAAAATTGAAAGAATAACAAAACGTTATTAAAAAACAAAATATTACAAAAAAATAATAAAATATTACTTAAAAAATGAAATATTATTAAAAAAATAATAAAATATTATTAAAAAAAGCAATAAAATATTATTAAAAAAATAAAATATTATTAAAAAAATAATAAAACATTATTAAAACTGTTTTTTCGTTTGGAATTATTCTCAGGTTAAATAAATTTTATAATTAAAAAATTTTTTTTTTTTGATTTGTTAAAAACTTCCTGATATGGAAAAATTAAAAAGTGAAATTTTCGTTACAGGATCAGATTTTCTCATGTTCAAACTATTTGAACCCTATTTTTCAGATTGCGGTTACCTCCGTTCATATTTTGAAGGTCGAAAATCCAAATCAGTCGAAAATAAGGTATGTTTATTTTAGGGAAAGTAAGTTTGTGTGTCTGTTTTCGCAATTTAAAATAACAATTGTACTAGTTGATTACAGCCAGGTTCTCGAATCATTAAGATTGATTCCTAGTACGTGAAAACTCAATTATTCGATCAAAAGTTGTTCACGTTCTTTGCTTTATAAATGTTTCTCAGACATGAAATACACTCAATAATATCGGATCATTCTGATATTCAAGTATCTGTGAATTGTAATAGGTTTTTCACTCTTAACAGTGGTTATCAACCGATACTGAATTCTACGATTAATTGCTTCATTTACATACAAAATCAATCTAGAAAAACCTGCGTAATGCATCCGTTGGTTATTTTTCGAGAGCTGTTCGTTAATCTCAAGAAATCACAGATGGCACCAACCTCATCCGTATATTTAAAATAGATTATGCAAGTATTGCAAACATCTTGAAAAGTTTAAATACTCTCGCCGCTTTAACAATCAGCGCCCCTACAAAGAGTTTTCAGAATTGAACGAAATTTATATACTTAAGCACAATGTTGATGCAAATAAGTGATTAAAAAATCAAAGCAAAATGATATTTTCTTGCTGGAAAAAAATACAAATGAATAGAGGTTTAGTAGCCGCTCGGGCAGCCGCTAACGAGAATGCAAGATACGATACGGTCTGGAACTGAGGCACACAAGTCTCTTATGATGACATGTGCCATTTTGTTCAACATTTGCTAAAAAAACACAGCTAAATCGAATTAATTCGGTCGAACTTGCCTTCCCAAATGTTTCTAGATCGAGCATGCCCAAAAAGGTTAATGTATCGGTGTCATTTCTGTGACACACTTGCTGTGCGCAACCGAGCATTGTCAAAATGGCTCCTAAGAACTCTGCCATCAGTGGCAACAAATGTGGCAGTAGGATGTACCTCTGGGCTATCATGGCAACGTGGATCAACATAAAGGGTGATCGTAAGTCGTTTGCGATGGCACCCCATACCATCGCATAAGCTGCAGATGTGGTGTGCTGCGTTTACAAGTTTGATACCCACTCACCGTTGCTTCTATTTGGAGTGGTGTCACTCGTGACGGGATGGAACTGCAATAGAATGAAACCAGGTCATCTTAAATAATGAATCGAGATTTAATTTGTGCAGTGATGACTATCGTGTACGAGTATGAAGGTCCCGTGGTGAACGTTTCTATCTTCTTCAATTTATTTTATTTAATTAAATTTTCCATTCTTTGATATTTTTGGGGCACTTGGAATGCCTCTTTAAATAAAAACACATTTTTATTTATTAGGAAAGAATGCAAGTTTACTCGTTGCTTTTGATATGCATTGGCAATCTTTCCTAAATTTTGATGTGAGCTGTTAAAATTTTAATTCAAAAATCATGGCAAAAAAACCACCAGAAGTCTGTTTATCGAATTAACCTTAACGTTTGCGGTAACGAACATTTTATTATCTTCATGGTTTTTAAACCATTTAAAACTCTGGTACGGTAGAAAAACCATCAATACAAGACTATACGATTTTTTAGCCATTTACAACTAGCATGGTTTCGAAACTGCAAAAAAGAAATTTAACTGGATATTGGAGATGCTTTAGCAGCTTTATGGTGCTGTCATATACATGCGAGAAAGAGAGTATCGCATTCGAATAGAACAGAGACATATTGGGAATTGCAGGGCACTGAAAACTCTGCATGCGTTGAAAAAAATGGAAGAAACATTGCGGTATCAAAGATAGGACTCGAACCAGTGTTCTGACACTCATGAGATTGGCAGATTAGCGCTCTCGGATATAATATGTACCCGGCGGAAAAGAGCTAAGTGGCTTCATTGTTGGGGCCATAAAATTCTGGTTATTTAACCTTATTAGGTGAAAATAGATAATAAACGATTTTTCTCACAATTAACAGTTTGAATACGGTTTTATTTATGGTAATTTAACTATTTTGCTTGAATATGGTAAAATAATAAGAAAATTGTTATTTAACCATTTTTTTCCCCAAGAAATGTCTACCAGTGTAGACTGTACAGACTTTCTTATATCTATTAGATTGATAGTTTTTTTTGTTGGTTTTTTTTGTTGGTATTTTTTAAACAATCTCTTTAGCAGCTTTACTCAATGCTTTAAGAGTTTTGTGGTGGTATTTCTTAAATAGTGGATTGATATTCTTTTTTGTGTTTCGCAGACAATATTTTTCTTAATAAATTTGTGTTGTATTAGAAATCTATTCTAGTATTTTTGTGGTGATTCAGTAATCTTATCTAACATTTTGCGGTGAATAGAAAATGTTGTTTGTTATTTCTGTAGAGAAATGACAATCTCTTTTGGCATTTTTTGACATTATTTTAGGAATAATGTAGTGTATTGGCAACTCAGTTCAGAATTTTTGTGACGTATTGACAATGATCTAAGGTATTTTAGTGCAGTATTAACAATTGCATATGTCATTTTTATTATTAATTGGCAATTATTAATTTTGTTATTAATTTAGTATTTTTAAGTAAATCGAAAAGCTTCTTTTATTTTCAATACGTACATAGAATTAAATAGTAACTACCATTAAACTAGAATTATCATTAAACAATAAAAAGATGCTGGTAATTGAAAACGTTTAAAATTAGACATGAACTAGCTAAAAGCCTCAACTATAATTTTAAGCACAGTTAATTCTTAACTCGAATTTTAACTTACCAGTAATCTTTCAAATTCCAGTCGGCTTGCGTTTCTGTTTGTAATGACAGTTCCTACTTGTCCTAGAAAAGAATGAATAGTATAAAATTAAAAAAAAATCTTGTAAAAAGGTTACGCATATGAAGCATTGAAATTCTTAAGACCCTAAGCACATATTGCAAAAATTGAAAAAAATATTGCTAACTTGTAAAATAAAAATAATACTTTTAAAAACCACGTTTTTGTTGTGGAGAATAATAATTAAAAAATAAAAATTTGAAAAATGAAAAACGTGGGGAGCATGAAATGCATAACAGTACATATAGACATACATATACACATTTTCTTACTCATACACATGTACAGCCACATATACAGCCACATGTACAGCCACATGTACATGTACAGCCACATGCATATACACAAACGTATTCCACATACACATACACATTCAGATACAATTACAATTACAGATATACATACACATATTCTCAAGAGCGCACATACACACACTAATATAACTTAACTGTTATGTATTTCATGCTCCCCACGTTTTTCGTTTTTCAAATTTTTTTTTTTAACTATTATTCTCCACTACAAAAACGTGGCTTTTAAAAATATAAAAAACTAAACTGAGCGGAGCGACAGCCCTAGAGGGTCAAGGTCTACTGTGCCCATCTCAGTTTTTTAAAATCGATTGCAAAATTCCACCCGGACCGACATACACGAAGGCAAGTTAATATAAACGTGATAAAAAAATAAAAGAATGCGTTTGAAAAACAATAAAAACTATTGCAGTGTTAGCAAACGAAAATTTACAGAAAACTTTATAAGCTTTCAACAAGAGGATCTTTATATCGCTAGTTGATCAATAGATTGGAAAATACAGCAATTAAAAAATGTTCAAACTAGTTTGGACTAATGGAATGTTGGCAGAAAAGTTTTAATTAAATAACATGTTACCACATAAAAAATAGAAATAAATAAAAAAATGCTTAAACAGAAAAAATTAAAATAGTTTAATTGAAAAAAAGCATATTTTAAGAACCATTAGCATATTTTTGCCATTAATCAGTGAATGTCATATTGAAAAAAATAATCTCACAGCTTTGTGCCCCAATCTTTATCAATGGATTTAAAGTTTTATTTTAAATCCATNTGCATTAGTTATATACATTCTCAGACCTTTACAATTTAAAAATTTGTCGTAGTGGGGTTATTTTAGTATATCCTTAGAAAATAGCAAAAACATAGGTAAATGATTAAAACAAATAAAAAGAGAAGAAAGAGATAAAAAAAGAGGAAAATCACGAATCTGAGGACTCTGATTATATTTAAATGTAATTGTTATTATTTAAAGTTTAGTTTTTTGCCATTGTTTATGCCTGCTTTGCTCATTAATTTTGGTTACGTGAATTTAAAGAACTCCGCTTATTATTGTAATTTACTAAGTAACACAAAGCTTTTCGTAGAAATTCCCAAAGTAAAATATTTCAAACAATAAATTCCAAACAAAATATTCTGGGATTTACTTTCTTTTTTATAAAACTTACCGCAGTATTTTAATTGTTATAAAAAACATAAAATAGATTAAAATTTTTAATCACTGAGGATTTTAAAGTTAAAAGAAAATATATATTTACGCTATAATCTCTTTCAAAAGTTTCATTTCAAAAATAAACTTGCACAAGAAAGTAATGTTTGCTTAAATGGATTGAAATAATTTAATCATTCTCTTTCTTTATTCCTAAAGATTACCCGCTATTCATGGAATATCTCACTTTCCATTTTTTAGAAAACTGTTTCTTTAAATTTCGTTTTCGAGATTTCGTGATTCAAAAAATAATTCCTTTTAAGTTAGCTATGTTTGTATTTGGTAATCTAAAGTATTGTACAATCACTGTATTTGTCGAAAAAAGATTATTATCTTAATAAAAGCTTTTATGAATAAAAAGAAATGATATTGCTCATGGCAAATAATTCGAATTATTTAAAAAATTATTTTTTAACATGAATACATAGCAAAAAGACTTAAATACTCTCTCTAGTACTTCTATACTGTAAGACTTCTCTTTAGTTTTTTTGATACTCTTAGTTAATAATTTTATAAAGCCAATTTAAATATGATGAAATACAGAAATCAGTTTCATTTTACAACAATTGATAAAAAGGCTTTACGTTTAGTGAATTAAATTCTTCCATATGGGCAAAATCACAGCCAAGAACTGGTACCATAAATATTTTCATTTTATACAAAAAAAACAACTTTATATATTACTAAAAAGGAAGAAATATTACATATTACCGTAGCTAGCTCAGAGAAAATCTATATTGTGTATTGAAAAATAACTCAAAAAGGCTTGAATTATATATATATATTATAGCAGAATTGGGCATTCCTTCAGAAAAAAAACTTCTCTTTGTTGCGCTTAAATATCTTTAATTTTTTTAAAAATTAGCATATGAACACTGATATTACATATCAATTATTTTATTCTTTAAAGCTATTTATTAAATTGTGTTAAATTAAAATATAAACAAAATTTTTTTCTTTAATTTCTTACACTTAAACGAAATTTATTTTATTTAAGACAATTGTTTCCTAATGTTTGCCAATCCCGGTTTAAATAACATGAGAAGATTTTTAAAAAAAATTATTTTGTTTTCACACCCTTGGAAATCTAATTTGTCAATTATTTTTGTTACAACAATTAATAAATCTTTCGATCGCTTTGCAGTATTGAAACACTTGATTATTATTTAGGATAACAACACTACATCATATTCATCAAAGAAAGAATCTGTACTATTTATATGCAGGCAAAACAATAACAGGGATGTTTTTTTTCTTTACATAAATTACTTGCCTTCGAAACTACGGAAGTAAGCTTTCTAGAAAAAAAAAGATTAACCTTTTGCATTAAAATTTTGCATATTTTATATGTCACGAAATTCCCCTAATTAAGTAGATACTCTTAAAATAACAGAATGTAGTTGCAGAAAATAATAATGGATGTTATAAATTGCCTATTGCTAGTAGTCCGAAGTCAATAATAATATATTTGCTTATAGTATTGTTAAAAATAGTCCGAATTTCCAGTATAAATAGTTACTTCTTCAAAATTACTGTTGTTAAAGCCTGAGACTTTGTAATGACATGACAAATAATGACTGGGAAATCGTGATGGCTTTGGGGATAGAGCATTCGCCTTCCAATGAGGTAAACCGGGTTCGAATCCCAGTGATGACTGGACGATACGAATTCTGCATCCGGCTTGCCCTGACGACAGTGCTGACGTAAAATATCCTTAGTGGTAGACGGATTACGGGTAAGAGTCCCCTTGCAGTCAGGCTAACCGTGGGAGGTTTTCGTGATTTTCCTCAGCATTTAACGATTTTGAGGTTTTTCTCTCCATATCTCTATCAAAAAGTTCTCCACGAAGGCAAATTTCCCCTAATACTTGATCCAGGAATTCTCTGGTCTTCTGGATTGGGTTCAAAATTACAAGGCAACGGAGTTGAACATTAGTAGTCGTAAACCCAAAATTTGGTCGACTGTTAAACGATGGTTATAAAGTAAATAATAACTAGGATGTCGAAGGAGGAAAGACTTATGCAGTCTGCTCCAAATTTGAAGCCCAGCAGACCTCTGCCGAACATATTTTTGACTGCTTATGCCTTTCCAAGGAGGACTTATATGCTACTCCACTTCTTGTCATCGACTTTTTGAGGGTCAACAACCTATTTGATCTTGTCTGACTCAGTCAGACAATTGGAGGGAAAGGAACAACAACAAAAAAATAACTAGGATGTTCAGCAGTGATTTCTCTTTTTTATACATAAAATTCTTTCGAAATAAGCAAGGAAAAAAAACTGCAAATAAAAAATTATCCATTACTGACGAAAGCGGGACGGGCGCAAAACATAAATACGTCAATTATGAAAACACTGGTATTTTACATCTAGAGGACCCAATTTTTTTTCAAATTAAATTTCATTTAATTTCCATCCATTAATGATAATTAAGAAATTATTTTTTTCCCTCACTACAGCGAATAAGGTTTAAATTTTTAATAATTATCTCCTTCAAAATTAATGACGATAATGCGAAAGACTTTTGCTTAATGTCAAAACAAATAATGACAAGGGGGGTAACTTCTCTCGTTTCCTTCTAACTTAAGCGGAATAATACCCCGACGGAAGTGGGATCATCCTCAGAAGTGTCCAGAAACCATTCTTCATTTGTAGGAGGATGACCACACCACTACACGGACGCAATGGACCCTGAATGACTCGGATAAAAGGGGGACATTACTGCCTTTTCCTTTTTCTTTATACATTGAATCTTCCTTTTTTTTTCTCCTCCCAAAAGATGCGGGAACATCCAGAGAAGAACATTAATTTCAGTAATGGATTGTTTGGAATATTATTAGAGAAAAACGAATAAATGGCTTTAAGGGTTGAGTAAGCGAATAAAAAAAATGGCGAAAAAAAAGTGATTGAAGAGTTTTAAAATGCGTTCTTTTTGGGCTTTAGTTATTCCCACTGTGTATTTTGAGATTTATATCTTTAAAAAAGATTTGAGAAATTTTCTACTTCAAAAGGCTTTATTTATGTAGGTGGGGAAGAGATTAACAATTAAGAATAATTTATTATCGTGAAATATTTTCGGTTGCCTAATTTTTCGGAGTTGAGGTACTGATCATAAGTATTTTTATAATTTCAAGCATTGTTCATAATTGTATTGTTTTTATTTCAGTTTTTTGTAGCTTAGAAAATAAATTATTGCTTACTTACCAACTATTGTAGCGAAGATAAATACTCCTATGAGGTAACTGATGATGGTAAACATATATCTGAAATAAACAAACATACAAAATGAAATTTACTTCAGGAAACGAACGAAAAATAAATTATATCTATTTTTGAAGTAATAAGACGAATAACTTGTAAAGTTAAAAGATAAAGTAAAATATATTTTCAATAACCGTTTTTACTTCATTTCTTCAAACCTTTCACACTCCGAAAATACACGAGACTATCACTTGGTAATTTAATTTACTGATCATAGTAACAATTTTACCTTGACCCCAGTTTGGTTCAATATGGGTTCGATGAGACATGTTCAAGAAGGACCAATATTGGGATGTCTAGATTTTTCAATATTGGTCCTTTATAGGGCCAATATCGACCTATATACGGACAATATAGGGCTTATAGTGACTGAATAATAAATATAAGATATCGGGTGAATCTGATAATTCTATATACAGACGATATTAATTGTAAAGTGGTTGTAAAATATCGAGTGAATCGGACTATTCTATATAGGGCCAAGTCCTATGTACTAAATCTATATTGAGTCAAGATTCGTAAATATTGGTCCAAAGTTATTTTGCTGCTAAGGGAGATGTCCGAAAATACTCAAAAATTGTCACTGAGGATGTTCATCCACCAGTATCTCTTAAAGCACTCACAAACTATCCCTTAGCAACTTCATCCACTGAGATCTACGAATACATTGAAAAATTGTTATTAAGTACCTTCCTCCACTGAAATCTCCGAAAACAAGCAAATACCGTCACTTAGTACCTCTCTCCACTGATCTCTGAAATTTAAGGAATTGACAAAAGTCATGCGATAGCAATATGCAAATATACAGATGGCAGTAGTATCGCGTATAAGTGGATATATATGTGTAATGCATTGGCAGGATTTTCATTTACCAACTGAGACTTAACTTATGTTATACTGTTTGTCTAAGATAGGTACTCTGACCGCCACTAAGTCTGCGGCAGTCTGGTGCTATGGAAACAAGATGAGGGCATTTTAGAGAGGGTAGCTTCGACGAAGAGGTCTCCTTTTCTCTCGACGAAACCAGTCCTAAAGAGGGATACCGCACCCCTACTTAAAATAATCATACCTCGTTACCATAGTCACCGCCACAGCTCCAGACCAATGCCTGGCAGAGTACCTATCTTAGACAAACAGTACCCCTGCATCATCCTTCAATTTATTATCTTAGATGAAGGAGTAGATATCCCCCACGGGATAGTAACTCCGAATACACTGTATCACACAGTCAGGATTTTCATTTGTGGAGGATTTTCAATGCTAAAGAATATAAGGTGATTACTGTATTGGATATCATATTCCCAATATTCTTTCTGAAAACAATTTTATGTTATTCGATGTGCTCCATGTAGAAGACCAATCTATTCTAGCCTCTGGAAAGTTGGTCAACTTTTCAAATTCTTTTTTAACAAGAACTATAATTAAAAAAAAAATTACAATAGAAACTGAGCATTTTGAAAAATCATGACTTGGAAAAATTGATTTATCTTATAAATAAAATTTTACTTAATAGATATGTTTTAAAAGTATAAAAAATAAAAATTGAAAAGTTGATTAACTATCCCCGGTTTCCCCTGTACTTAAAATTAATAGATTGCTGTTGTTGTCGTAGGCCATTAAGGCAAGAGGTGTGATTGTTCTTGTTTTCCAGTGGCTCCATCTATGGCCAAGAATTCGACTTAAACGTCACATTTGCTTATAGGTCGGACCCATTCATTCATCCACAGATCATAATTTTGCCTTGAACCTGAGAACGATTAATCTCCAATTCAGTACCCCCAGAGGTTTAATTTGCAAAATTAATAGATTTAAGAAATTAAAAATCATTTAAGAAAATAAAAATAAAACATAATAACAGTGGCATCGAGTGTAATGGTTGGTGAGCAAAAAACTTATCCAATAGATTTCAAAATATTTAAAATCTGCATTGTTGTTTTCAAAAATAACGATTCCGATAATGCACGTTTTAAGGAAATATGTTTTATCTGCTTGTAAAGGTCAAAAGATAATTTTTTCCGTATTTGATAATTCTTCGTGCAATTTTGAGAAAAAAAAATAGCACAAGTATTTTTTTTATTGGTGTTACTCGATGCCATAGAATTTAATTGCTCTCAAAAGTTTTTCTTCTGTTTTTAGAGTTATTTCATGAAATTAGAGTGAAACTTAAGCTTTTAAACAGAAAAGGTCAAGATTAAAAAAAGTTCAAGCAAGTTGATATAAATTGGAGGATATTGATAAGTATAAACTCCGTACTGTTTAGACTTTTTTAAAATAAATTATGTTAATTCATTTATATAATATGAATTTAATAATTTATTTCCTCTTGATTGAAGTCATTGAATGTAGAATTGAGTTGTGGCAAAAGCCGACATTGGATAAACTTAGTACTCTACATAAGCTAATCAATCCATGCTGTAAACTAGTCCAAAATAAAAAAGAGAAAAAGAAATATCTCTGAGGTACAGTGAGCAACAAAAAAAAGGAAAGAAAAAAGAGAAAAAAAAGCGGACAACCCGGAATATTTTTTGATCTAATTATAGGATCTTCACTTTCTAGGACTAGGTCTTAATGATACTAGGGGATGACTTTAAATTAGCTAATTAATTAAAGCAAACGATATTTTAAGTTACGAAAGACACAAAAATGCAATTGGCATTTAGTACGTGAAAATTCGATCATTGGAACGAAAGTTATTCAGGATGATATCTTTTTTTATTTGTCCACTGTACAACCAGAATTAGTGAATATATGTACCTTTCCGTAATATGAGTCGAATCGCACTAAAATACTTATTTTTTTGCGTATCACAAAAGCAACAGTTTCTTTTTCTCATTAAAATAAGATACAAAAGGTTTGAAGCTGCTTATTTTTGCTCAAAAATAAACTTTGTGAGTTTAATATCTTTATCAAAATATTTTTAGAAATAATAAAATGATAAAAAAATTCAGAAATGATTGTTTTTAAACGTATTTATTTTGTTGATTTGAAAGCTGATGAATATAAATAAATCAATAAAAATAGAAATTACCTGCGAAAAAAGAAGCCTTTAAAAATGAAATGCGGAAACATCTCTTATAGTTGTACTACAATGAATTTAAGAAAAAAATTAAACGTTTTTTTACGTTAATCAATACTGTAATAATTCAAAACTGAAATAATCGTAGCTAATTTATAAATTAATCTTAAATTACTGCAAGAAACAACATCATAAATTAATCCATTCCATATTAGTAGTAATTCAGGATAAAATGGAAATTATTCTAGATTTAATACAGTTTAAATACTTATGTACCTTTCAGTATCAATTAACCAGTGTACCCTTTAGCAGTATCAATAAAAATACACTAAAAGTGTTTTTGTATTCCATACCTACATAACAGTCAACTTTTTTTCAGCCAATAAAAATTGAAAAGTCTTAAACTTTTTATTTTTGTTCTAAAATTAATAATAGGAACAATTTTATCAAAATGTTTTTTCATAATAATTTAAATACTAGAAAAACTTTAAATAACTGTGTTTAAATTGTGCACACAAATTAATATATAAAAAAATAAATAAATAAAGTGAAAAGTAACTACCGCAAAAGAAGCCGTTAAAAAAATATGTAAACGCCCTTCATATTTGAACTAAATTGAATTAAAGAAGGAAAAAAAAAGATTTCTTACATTGCCCAATAAGATTTCTTACATTGAATATCATAATAACTCTAGCCCAAAATAACTGGTTTAAACAGACTAATTTTATAACTTAACCATAAATTATTGCAAGAAACAATATCATAAACTAATTCATTCCATATCTGAAGATAGAATGGAATCTATTCTAGATTTAATTTAGGGTGAAATACTTGTGTACCCTTCAGCGGTTATCAGGGTTTTGACTGGAGGCCATATTATTATATTAATTTCTACCCACTCGCTAAATAAGATAAATCTGTATTAGGTATGAGGAACATATTAGTAGAGAGGATTCATTTTGCAGAGATTTGTGTGACTGTTTTCGCATCGAATTCTCTTAATTAAGTAATGATTTTCGAACAAATGATTTGGAGGTTTTAATACGTGCGTTAAAACCTTCTGATGTGAATAACATGAACAATGCAGGTGAGGTAATGGTGTACTCATACAGTACGTGAGCAAATTATTAGTCGCACTATAAGATTCTACGTAAAATCTTAATTACTAGGTGATACTGCTTAATTGTTTTTTTTTTTGCGACTGAAACCAGTTTTCAATTGTTTACGTTCGTGTACCAATTGGTTAAATTAGACGATCTATAATATGAGTTCAACGATTGGATAAATTAAACGATACATTATATAAATATAGAATATTTATTATATCTGGTATTTTATTAGTATATTGTAATAATTAGACCAAATTATTCGACGCACTGTAGTTTTTTAATAATTACATGTTTGAATGTGTTTAGATGCAATACTTTTATATTTAAACATATATGTAATGGGTTGTTATTCAAGAGATATTTTTATACACTTTCTATTTGCATTTATTTTTAACGTATTCCATTACAAACCGGTTTCAGTTGCGTAAAACAATAAAGCTGTACAGTATCACCTGATAATTAAGATTTTACGTCGAATCATATAGTGAGTCTAATAATTTGGCCAGGAACTGTACGCGATAAGAAAAAAAAATTAAGCTAAGAAGTTTAGCGTTGTGAGATAATTAATTTGGAGTTCGATGCGCTAGCGCTAGTGGTTCTTAGAAAAGAGGAACACTGCTAAGAAAGTTTAACGGCAACAGTGGAGTGAGGTTTTTAAGAAAAAGATTTTTCTTTAAGGTAATTTAAAACTAAATACTTTTGGGGCATTAAAAGTGTAAAATTGTAAAAGGAATTTGTATAAAAAGGAAGATTGTTGGAACGGAAAGAGCAAAAAATGATGTATGAGTACTTTTAAAAATCAAATTTCCTACAACGCAAATTTACTATCACTATTATAAATTTATAAAACCGGTTTCAATCTCGTAAAAATAATAGTTGAATTTTAATATCTTCCAAAATATTTTTTTTACAGAAAGATTAATTTAATAAGATATGAATGATTGATCATCCACATTTTATCGATTATTGATCGATTATCGATTATATTATCGATTATTGATCATTGATTGATGAAAATGGTCAATGTCATATACAGACTTTATATATATATATATATATATCCGCTAACCTTATAAGGCAATAAATTGTTCTCCCGGTCAAATGACCGGTTGTGGTAGAAATAGGTATACGACAANTATATATATATATATATATATATATATACAGTGGTGACCAAAAGTGTGGACATTTTTTGAAAGTTTCATGTTTTTCAACTTTGTGTTCTTGTAGAATATATTAACTTTCACTTAAATACAAACGTTTATATAACAAATTAAAGGTAATTTAATATAGAATTTAATTATAAATACTGCAGTACAATATCTGTATTACAAAAAAAGTTATTCGACTAATAGTAAGATCTACCTTAGATTTGCACTTTTTTAAAGTGATACTTACACAATCGATACTTAGTAGGATAACCCTTATTTTTTAAGACAGCCTTACAGCGTCTTTTCATCGAGTGAACGAGTGTTTGGAGTTCATCTTTCGTAATCACATGGTGCCAAGAATCAATTATAGCTTCAATAAGTTGTCTTTTATTGGATGGACGTTTTTTCCGTACGAGAATTTTCAAACGTCGCCACAAATTTTCAATTGGATTGAGATCAGGGCTGTTTCCTGGCCATGGTAATATATCTTTGCCTTTATTTTGAAACCATGCGTTCCATACTTTTGCTGTGTGGCATGGAGCTGAATCCTGCTGAAAAATAAATGGTGCGTTGTTGGGGAATTTGATCCCTGATGGAAGGCATCAATTTTGGTTTCAGGACATTTTTGATATTTTTCCTTTTCCTAATATTTTTTGTTTTTAAGTAATAAAAATATTTTTTGAAATTTCCATAAGGCTTTTTTCAGAGCAATGTATAATGTAGTTTTCAGTTCCATATAGTTTCCCAACTTAAAAAATTTTAATCTATATAAAAATCAAGACAGAGGCTAACGTACTTCCTTCTTCTATGACTCTCCACATGCTAATGGTGAAAGCATGCGAAGTGTTGCCATAGGTAGAGAGTTCTGCTCTACGCCACCTGTCGCCCATTTAGATCGCCAATTGAGGAAAGAAAAATTAAAAATGCAAAAAGTAAGTAAACAAAATATTTTTATCATGAATATCTAAATGAGTCAAATTTAAATCAGCTTAAGTTTTTAAAATTTACTTTTTTTAAAAACCTTTTTGAAATAATAGGTAAAGAATATAACACTTACTGAAGATTCGTAGCTGGTGTCGCCAAATCTCCAATCGTTGTAAGAGTGAGTGTTGACCAGTAGACTGATCCCAGGTATTTCCTTGACAATGTTGCGTAGTCGTAAACCGGTTTCGGGTATGACCACTCCCCAACGAAATTTTCGAATTCAGAGAGGAGGTAGTAAAAACAACCGAACCAATGAGCGAGGAGCAACAGGATGTGTATCAGGTTCACAACTCTCCACAAATTTGGATAAATTGTTCTCGATTCCACCATGTAATACAGTCGAAAGGAACGATACAGTTTTAAAAACCTAGAAAATAAAATTTCAAGGGTTGATATGCATGCGGATGTTCTGTAATCTTCACCCTTAATATAGCTTTTTAGAATCATTAACAATAAGAAAGAAAATAAAGCTTTTTCACATTGGATACTGCAAATATTTATTTAAGCTAGGAAAGAAAAAAAACATTGATGAGAATTATTAATAGAATTAATTTATCACATTAATGGTAATCTGACAATAAAACATTAAAACCAGTTTTATTGCCAGAGAAAATCTGAGGATTTGAAATACGATTATTAGAAGCACCTACAACTGCTAATTAGCACTGAAACAGGTATAAATATTTAGTTCAATGAGCAAAAAACGGACCACCCTGAATAGCTTTTCATTTAATCGTCACGTTCTAGGACTCAATCTAATGGATCTAGGGGTGACCTAAAATATGCTAATTAATTAATTAGTTACGTAATCAGACACAGAAATGCAGTAAAGCCGTATATAAAAAAGTGGTGTATTTTAAATTCGATTTCTCGGGAACTATTCAACCCATTTCGCTCGAATTTTGTATTTTGCCCATGCAAAATTACTTAATTTAAAATCATGTAAAAACATTATATCTTACAATTCAAACTCTTTTTGACCATTACTAAACAAAATAACAAAAAATAATAAATATTAACTGAAATTTATTTTTTGCATGACATTTTTCTTGGATAAATGAATTTTATAATTATGAGCAAAAATTTTTCATTTAGCATAAGAATTTCTCGAGATATCCAAGTTATAAAATTAGCATTATGAGATCCAAACTTTGAAACACTTCTCCTGACCAAACTATGGGGCCTTATTTCTCAGATTGCGGCTTTCCCCTATACTTTTGTTTTCAGAAATCTGAATCCGTCGGAAAAAAAGATAAATATATTCAGAGAAAGTGCGTTTTTGCGTTTGATTTCGTAACTTAAAATATCGCCTGTGCAAATTAATTAGTATACTTGAAGTCAACCCTCTCAAACCGTTAAGATTGAGTTCGAGAATCCAATCATTAGATCAAAAGTTATTCTGGGTGGTCCGTTTTTATCGACGCACTGCAAATCTGACTTCCTCAAAGCAACTGCAGTAGCGCAGATCGTTAGTTCGATTCTGGCAGTCGGCTAAACATCAAGCGTGTATACGCAGCAAGAGTGAGTGCACATTAAATCTGCCGTGGTTGAAAATCTTCTTGTTAGTCGTGGTGTTGAAGTTTGGAGGTGGGTATCAACTCAGGCGATGTCCACGTCGTCCGACAGGGATCAATATTACGTGACATTCCTATTAAGGCTGTAAAAAGATAGAGCCTAAGAAACGGAGCTTGATCATGGTTAGTTGGTTTATCAATGGTGATTTTAGGTATCGATATCATTTTGCCCAAAAAATACTGTCTGTTATAATTGTGCGAATATGTTTACGTTTACAAAAAACATTCAACAGATTTAATCATTAATTACTAAGAGTAATATTGGCTCTAAATAGAATGAAGGCCAAAGACGCAGACATGATTAGCTCAAAAAATTATTTACAATATTTTTTAATCATTATTTACGTATTATTTTTTTGTGTTTAAATTATGTTTATAGTTGTAAAATATTGATTTCACAAAAAAAAAAACTATTGCAAACAAACTTACAAAAGACCTTTCCTGACACTGAAAATTGAATTGAATTTAACTGATCCCTAAATATTTATTTGATTTACACTAAAAACTAAATTCAGTTACTCTAAAAATTGAAATGAATCATACTTAAAATTGAATTGAATTCTTCTAAAAATTTAATTAAATGATACTAAAAATGGAATTGAATTGCTTTTAAAATAGAATTGAAAACTAACGATTGAATTGATCTACTCTAAAAATTGAATTGGAATTTTCAGAAATTTTGAAAACACTACAAAGATTAACTTTTGCAAGGAAAAAAAAAAATATTATCAAATTCGAATGTTCACACTAAAAATTGAATTGAATTATTCTAAAAATTGAATTAAATTGTACTTAAAATGAAATTGTATTTAATTTAAAATTGAATTGAAAACAAACAATTGAATTGAATTGATCTGCACTAAAAATTGAATTGAAACATCCGGAAATTTTGAAGAATANTTGGAGGTGGGTATCAACTCAGGCGATGTCCACGTCGTCCGACAGGGATCAATATTACGTGACATTCCTATTAAGGCTGTAAGAAGATAGAGCCTAAGAAACGGAGCTTGATCATGGTTAGTTGGTTTATCAATGGTGATTTTAGGTATCAATATCATTTTGCCCAAAAAATACTGTCTGTTATAATTTTGCGAATATGTTTACGTTTGCAAAAAACATTCAACAGATTTTATCATAAATTACTAAGAGTAATATTGACTCTAAATAGAATCAAGACCAAAGACATAGACATGATTAGCTAAAAAATTACTTACAATATTTTTTAATTATTATTTACGTATTATTTTTTTATGTTTAAATTATGTTTGTAGTTGTAAAATATTGATTTCACACACACACACGCACGCACGCACAAAAAAAGTCAAAAAGCGTATTGTGAACAAACTTACAAAAGACCTTTTCTGACACTAAAATGTGAATTGAATTTAACTGATCCCTAAATATTTATTTGAATTACACTAAAACTAAATTCAGTTACACTAAAAATTGAATTGAATCATATTTAAAATCGAATTGAATTATTCAAAAAATTGAATTGAATGACACTAAAAATAGAATTGAATTGCTTTTAAAATAGAATTGAAAACTAACGATTGAATTGATCTACGCTAAAAATTGAATTGGAATTTCCGGAAATTTTGAAAACGGTACAAAAGTTAACTTTCTTAAGGAAAAAAATATATACTATCAAATTCGAATGCTCATGCTAAAAATTGAATTGAATTATTCTAAATATTTAATTAAATTGTACTTGAAATAAAATTGTATTTAATTTGAAATTGAATTGAAAACTAACAACTGAATTGATCTACACTAAAAATTGAATTGAAACATTCGGAAATTTTGCAGTGCAAAAGTTAACTTTCTTAAGAATAAAAAACTATTAAATTCCAATGTTTTTGTTAATTTTGAGAAGACACAATTCCTACAATTTCGACTTCTATCCATCATTTCTCCAAACCCGAAAATTCAAACAATATATTACCCTCTGATTATTTTCCTTCAGATTCATTTCTGATTCGAGTTCCAACCAGTTATTATTGAGCAAATTTAAAATTTTTTGGAGTACTTTTATTCTACCAGAAAAATAAAACATTTTATAAAAGCTTGTACTACCATGCAGAAAACTTTTTGACACTAACCTATGGTTGTGTTCGCTCTTTTTAAGAATAACCTTCCCCGTATAAAAATGATTTCTGCGAAAAAAGTCATAAGAAAATTGATAATTTTGAGACATACCTAGGAAACCGAACGAGTGGCAAGACTCCAAATTGAATTTGCACCAAATCTAATGGTAAAATGGCTACAATGTCCATTATAAAGCTCTTTGACTTCATGTAATGTCCTGCTAATTTTCTACTTTCACACACCATTAAACCCTGTTCTAAATAACCCGTTCTGAACTGGAAGGCTATGTCTAATATGAAAACGACGTCCGTAAAGCCGTCTAAAAAGTACCAAAGTGTTGACCAGTCATCCTGAAGCTCTGGAAAAGCCTGAAAAAGAAAAAAAAATCGTAAGTATGGAACACTCAAAATAATGGAACTCATCATCATCATCATATTTGGCCAGACAGCCCAATGTGGGCCAATGCCTTTCCCTAGATATTTCTCCATAGCGACTTCCGCTTTATCTTTGATCTTCAATTCTTTTCAGTAATTGCCTAGTTATTTTCAGTTATCTGGGAAATAATGGAAGACATTTTCGTAGAATTCTTTTTCGTCTCCTTTGCAAATCATCATGCAAAATGCAGCGCGTGCTGGATCTTCATCAAATTTCAGGCCATATTTACAAAGATCTATGATAAGAAACTGAGAAATTTTGTTATGATAAAGACAACTTTAGTAATAGTTTTATCGATGTCCATACGCAATATTTTCGATGTCTGTGAAAAAGACAACGGCGAAAATATGACCAAATTCTTAAACTCAGATTGTTATTTGAGAATTCATTTAATGTAACAGGAAATAAGTATTCCACAAAGTCACGACCTAACATCGCGAACGATTGTAACTTTCACCTTCACTTGCAGCATCATCCTTCATCGTGATCCGCTTCGTTGACTGATTCAAAGATGGTTCTTCAGCCCCTATGAAGTTCTGACGACCCAAACTCACAATTTTCTTGTGCCCACTCTTAAAAACTTCCATAAACGAACATCATTTTAGGATAATTTGCGGGAGGCGTACACCAAAGTTTTGAAGAACATTCTGAAGGAAGTCTACTGCCTGGAAACTTCTTCAATGCCTGGAAATCTATTTGCTTCGTAGACGCTCGAATGCGTCTATGAATCGATATACTCGATTCATAGACGCAGGAGGAGATGGGACTATTTTGACTCATTTTAATGAGTTTTACTGACCGGATCACTACATGGATTTTAATTGACTCTGTGACATTGAACAAGTCATGCTCACACATATGCAGTAAACGATACGATAGATATAAAAACATACTGTAAATATCAGCAAGTAGAAGAAAGCATGCACTGTGAGGCAGTAGTAAACCGCTAAATGGTTAATATATATGTTACGGTGAAACACAGAAATCTGGTGAATGTCAACAATCACATAGTCGCTTTGGTGAATGTCCGAAATATTTGCTATATCCAATTTTATATTAATTTATTCGTTGATATTATTATATTTATTTGATAAATTTATATTTATTCTGTATTTTAATACTTACTGACGATAGATTGGAAGAAGCATTAGTGATCCGCTCGGCAAATATATACCGGGCAATGGCAATTTACCTTAAGAAAACATCAGTGCAGGGTATACCGGGCAAATGTATACCGGGCAGTGGCACTTAATCTTAAAAAAACATCAGTATAGGGTATACCGGGCAAATGTATACCGGGCAGTGGCGCTTAACCTTAAAAAACATCTGTGCTGGATTAAAATATAGAATAAATGTAATTATGTCCACGAATAAATTCATATAAAATGGAATGTAATAAATATTTCGAACACTCACCAAAGCATATCTGTGATTGTCGACATACACCGGTGAGGGTCCGAATGTACAAGAATGAAATGAAATATTCGATCTTTCACCGACATATTTGGTGTTTGTCGACATTCACCGGTGAAAGTCAACAACCACCGATTTCGGTCTTTTGCCGTGACATATATATATATATCAAAAAAGGTTATACAGTAATTGAAATATTTTAAATATTAATGTAATTGTAAGTAGAAGAAAAAATAATGTGTACGATAGTTCTGCGAAAGATAACATACTGACCATGTCATTAAATGATAGTATTGAGAAAGAAAGCACGCAATCTATGTCGGTAAAAGACAGTAATGTGAAAGAAACTACACTGTATATGTAAGTAAACGATAGTATTTTGTAAAAAAATATGCTGCCTATGTCAGTAAACGATAGTGTTGTGTAAGGAAATATGTTGCCTACCTCAGTGAACGATAGTATTGTGTAAGAAAATATGCTACCTATGTCAGAAAACGATAGTATTGAGAAGGGAAATATGTCGCGTATGTGAGTAAACGATAGTATTGTGAAAGGAAATATGTTGCCTATCTCAGTAAATGATAGTATTGTGTAAGGAAATATGCTACCTATGTCAGAAAACGATAGTAATTTGAAAAAAAATGTATCGCGTATGTGAGTAAACGATAGTATTGTGAAAGGAACTGTGTTGCCTATCTCAGTGAACGATAGCATTGTGTAAGAAACTATGCTGCCTATCTCAGTAAACGATAGTATTTTGTAAGAAAATATGCTGTCTTTGTCAGAAAATGATAGTATAGTGTAAGGAAATATGCTGCCTATGTCAGAAAACGATAGTATTGTAAAAGGAAATATGCCACGAATGTGAATAAACGATAGTATTGTGAAAGGAAATATGCTGTGAATGTGATTAGACAAAGAGAGTGATTTGCTAAATAAAAATCTTATGAAAAGTGAAGTCAACCTGTCTGACGATGATGGTCCATGCATTGTAAAGAAGACATATAGTGACGAGTGAAAGCCAATAAAAGAGAATGTTTTCGTCAGGATTGACGACGGAGCGAAAGAGTCCAAAGAGGTGGCTTTTGAACATTCCTTCGCCTGCTAGTCTTGCTGAACCTTCAGAGGCGTTCGGATCTGAAACAGGACGGGTCGAGAATCTCTTTAGGAAAGAATCCTCTCTTTTCAGTGGCGGCTTCTTAGCAACCTATTACAAAAGAAGTATCTGTCAATACCAGAAAATTATTTGATAATGTGTATACAAATTTGCTGGTTGGCAATTCTACACACGTCACCGGCGTTTATTTTGTAATTGAATATGAAAGAAAAGCAAAACACTTTAATTTTGATTTCATGCATAAATGTTATTGACCGATGACGAGTTATCTGGGCATTGCAATTGCAATGACGAATTAAGTCGTCGCCGGTCGTTAATGCGTTAAGAAGACGCTATACCACGAGAAGAGGGTGGCGATTTTTGTTATCTTCATTGATATTTCGAAATTTAAAGTTTAGAAAAAAAAAAGAATTTAGGTGAACCCACTGTTTAAAAATCAGTAAAAATGTTTTCAAAATATCAAAGTGAAAACAAATCATTGCAGAATAACTTCCACAGCGTAATCCTGTCATGATTTGTTTGCATTTTGATATTTTAAAAACCTTTTTTTAGCATTTGAAACTGACTTACATAAACTCCATTTTTCTATACTTGAATTTGATTTACTTTACTTAAGTTCAGGAAAGAGAATTTGCTATTAAGGGTTTCTCCCACGGTCTAGAGACCTCTTAAATACTTCAATAAGGTATGACGTTTGATAGTATTATTTGGTTTTTAATTAAGATAGGCCGAACTATTAAAACATAATTTTCGACTATCTAATTATTACTTAATTAGAAGGCCATTTTTATTTATACAGTTTTCAGTCATGCAGTATTCCACTATCAAGTATTTTAACCCCTTCCTTCTCGCTCCTGTGAAAATGACGGGGTGAGGTTTCGCCCTCTATTTCTCACTCCCGTGAAACTTCCGGGCTGGAGTGTTCAGTAGTAACGCGCCAATAATAATAAAAGTAATTCACATCTTTCGTGCAGAAAACATTTTATTTCTCCTTTTACACACCAGATGGCAATACCAGGATATTTTTAAGGTAATTATAGATAGTTAGTTTATTTTAAACTAGATGTTAGCACAAATCAAATACGTGTATTTTTTTTATGACCGCCGTTGAACAGTTGACCCAATTTTTGGGCGAAATAGGTACTTTTATGACTGTTTTCTTGAAAATTAACCGATCGTTAAGGGTTTAATGATAAGCACGCTTTTAAAAAGTGTGCCATATTATGAGGCAGCTTATGCTTTAGCTAAAGAAGGAACTGGAATAGTCTCGAGTTATGACACTCCAACCTTTCTGGAAATCTATTCAAGAGTAAAATCTGCTGTTGCCTCTTCTTGATGATCTCCTTCGCCGCATAACTAGTATAATGACCTGGAGGTGCTCTGAATTTTGAGGGTGGTTGCGCACTACTACAGAGTTAAGACCATCAAGTGGCAGATAAAGTGTTTTGGCGAGATAGGTTGCGTGTATCAAATCCTGCATTTTAACTGGATCAATAGTTAAAATTTAAAAAAGGAGAAACACGAAATTTAAACATATTTTAATAACTAAATTGAACTCATCCAGGATCATACTCAAAGACGTAGAACATTAGAAAAAAGTGTAAAGTATAATGGTATATATGCATTTCATCCACTTGAAATTCAGTTCAGTTCGTTAAACTTCAGGAAGAAGATTACCGAGAATACATAGAAGATATATAGAAGTTTATAAGTTAGCCAGGTTTCTAACTTTCGTACTTGAACCTAGTATGTTGATTACACCATAGTGTCTTAGATAAGACCAGGCTAAAAAGATCATTCCCATTTATGAAAAATGCAATATCGATCTCGAATTCCACACTCGATCTTTGGAACCTGGAGGAAATTGATATTATATTTTCTGAACGTATACAGACTCATGCATACGTTTTCTGAAAGTATTCGCAAATTCTGAATGTATGTGGGACGTAACTGGCTTAGTAAAAGGCTTGACCAGTTAAGATAAACACTAATAACTACACTTTCAATGCAGACAACAACGGCGATCATATGACGTGATGGCTCAGGGGATAGAGCATTTGCTTTACAATGCGGTGAACCGGGTTCAAATCCCAGCGACGACTGGTAAAAACGAGTTTCGCACAATGCTAAGTTAAAATATCCTCAATGGTTGACGGATCATGGGTTAGAGTCCTGTTGCCGTCAGGCTAACCATGGGAGATTTTTGTGGTTTTCCTCTCTATGTAGCACAAGCGCGGGTTAGTTTCATCAAAAAGTCCTCCACGACGGCGCAATTCTCCTAATACTTGATCCAGGAGTTCCCTTGTCTTCTGGATTGGAATCAAGATTACAAGGCTATGAAGTTGAACATTAGTAATCGTAAAATCAAAAAATTGGGTCGTCTGTTCAACGGCGGTAATAAAGTATAAAATAAAAATAATAAATAAAATATGCTTTGGGGGTGTATAAGAAGTATGAGAGGAACTGACCTGCGTAATCGCCGAAGACAACTGGACGGTGTGGCGTAGTTTATTCCAACGAGATCTGCCAGTAGTAATCACTGAAGTCTCTTCCGCAACCACTGGGGGAGTAACCGCTGGGGGTGCTGACGCACTCTCTATTGGTGGGGCTGAAAAAAAGCAAACAAACACCCCACATTCTAAAACTAAGAAACAATGTACATGAATAATAATTAAATGATACAGATATTTGAATACTTTGGCATTGTGACGAACTACATAAATGAGGATATATAAGGCTTGCTCACGTGAAAAGAGGACAAGAGGTAATAACGTCATCAATTAAGTTACGGCACTATTCAAGGTTATGAAAGAAGAAAAGTTCACCACCAACGTAACTTAACTGCTTAACTATTTCACATGAGAGCATTTAAAGAGAATGTAAAGTCGTTTTTATCAAAGATGCATTCAGAATAGAATTCAGAATGTACGCTGTTCGCGAAAACTTTTAATCCATTCTTTCATCCCCGTTTGTCCTCATTAGTGCTCACCATTAACTACAATCATTCGACGATATATGTCCTCATTGGTGCTTACCTTCTTCAACTAAAACTCTTATCCCGAACTCATCGACCTTAGCACCACTTTACATTCACTTGAAATGTTTTTATGAGAACTTGCTTGTCAGATAGGCTCAATTTGTGATAAACTCTGTATACTTCAATTTATAACTCTGAAATATGCCGTTGCTATCGTTTCCTTATTTTCTGACGCTATCACGCGTGTCTACTTTTCGTTCGGACAAGTGGATAATTTAATTTTTTCTTTAAAATTCTTGCGAGTTTATTTTTTAAAGCTTTACAATTTGATTCAAGCACTTTTTAACTTTTGTCTTACTAGATAATAATCTGCAATCCTAAATCTTTTTATAATTTCGAAATATTTATTCATCAGAAAACACATTAATCTGACCAAGTCTGTATGAAGAGCATTTACCAAAAAATTGTAATGAAATAGAATATTTGCAAATACCTTGTAGAATATAATAATTTCTTAATTTTTTAAAATTTATTTTCAAAAAAACCACTTTAAGGGAGCGTCTAATCATTGTGGGCTCCAGGCCATGGCCTAGTCTGGCCTAATGGGTAATCCAGCCCTGCCTGATTTCTCCCCACAGCAACCCTCAAACGGAGATTTGTGACTGATCAGAAGAAATTTGATTAAAGTTAGCCATTGAAGTCAAATTATAGCACTGGTTACTTTAAAAAAAACGTTCGAAATAAAAGTTGAATTAAGAAACAGACATTTGTTTCAAATCATCCGAGTGGAAATCAGTAGTTCTATCGAATTTAGTTCCAGTTGCTTATAGGACTTACTTTATCTACTTTACTCTCTAGAAATTCCCCCAAAAGATAATCGCCTGCCTTTTAGCCACAGATAACTATTGACTTAATCAACTTTTTCGATGCTATCACGTGGTTCGTAGGACAACATTTGAATATTTTCTTTTCGCATTCAAGGACTATTTTGACAACGAAAGTAGAATTATTTGTTGAAGGTAGAATTTTTGATACTTCCCCTCGCCGTCCCCAATCGAAACTTGTCCCATACCCCGCACTCCTACTTGAAACAGTTTTACCTCGTAACCATAGCCATAGACAGTACTCCAGTCTACTGGTGAGGGAAGTTTTTTTAAACACACTATATCTCCTATTAAAGCTACCGGATTTTTATATCACAATTACGGTAGGCTTCTTTTGTATTAAGCTATACCTTCAATTAGAGTAAAAACTATGCCCTTCTAGTTTTTCAGAAACATATCTTGATATTTCTGAAATTAAAAGGTTTGGGGCACGACTAGCTATATGTTGTTTTGCATTCCTTTGTCATAAATTGGAAATTGCGAAACTTTGGAATGTATGCATCTAGCCGAAAACAGTAATTGGAACAATTCAGTGCAAAAATAGAATGTCTTTGGAAACTTCAACTTTTACCGTTGGAAACATTCTACTGTATGGAGTTGATACTACCTATGATAAATATCAAAGGACTTCATGCAATATTTAACTACAAATGAGTGATTTCGAATTTAAAAAATAGTCTTAATCTATATTAAACTTTCACATTCAGGTAGAAATACATTTGAAAAGTTTTAAAAATTTATCTGAAAAATAGGCTTAATTGTAAGTTAAACTTTAAAGTTTAACTTGCAATTAGTATTTATGATGAAATATTTAAAAAAATAGTTCTAAAAATAGGCTTAATCGTAAATTAATATTTTACATTTACTTACAAATGCGATCGAATATTTCAAAAAATACCTGTTGTTGTTATAGGTTCTTTTTTTATTTGTTCTTGTTGACTGTCATTGTTCTCTTGGTGAGGTGGTGGTGGGATGGTGCTGTCATGGCTTCCATCGACCATCATCACGCCACCACCACACTCAGTGGAATCCTGAAAAGAAAAAAGAATGAAAGAATGAAATAAATATAATTTTTGGAATGATTGTTTCAGCAGTACTTTGACGATAAAATGAATTATTGGATGATGGAAGTATCTCAAATTAAGTAATATTTAAACGTATTCCCAGATAGCAAAATAAGGTTTATTTTCACTCAGCAAAAACCTTTTAATTTGAACCTAAAGAGGTGTTTCTTATGCGGTTTACGTGTAAACCTTCTAACCAAAAAACGAGATCTGTGACAATCTGCTCTATTCTACGCACATTACCCTAATCCAAAATCATGGAAAACAACCTAATAAAAACCTTAAATCGAGGTTGACTTAGGGTTTTCAAGCGGGAAAACTCTTCGATAAAGCTAGTCTCAAGGTGAAAATAATCTTAAATCGAGGTAATTATAAGGTTTCTTTTCGCAATGTCTTGTATGCTCAGCTAAACTCCAGCTTGCCATGAAATTTTAATGGACTATGCAATTGGATCCTATCGCTAGGGTGACGTCAGTAAGGCGTCATTATGGACCTAAGTGACGATTTTACTAACAAGGGAAACTAGGGACGTGTGACTCGCCAATTATGAAATAAACAAGTGGGATGTATGCCTTATGAGGAATAATTTTAGGGGGCAACATTCGTTTCGGCTCATAGAAGGTCCTGTGAGAGATAAAAAATAATTCAATATATAGAAAAAATCTGTATTTTATTACTTCAATGCAGACTATTAGTTATTGTAATTGTCTCATACTCCAATTAATTTGTAATTAATTGGATAATTAATTAATTTTCTAATTAATAAATTAATTAATATTCGTTTCGGTCCACAGAAAGTCCTGTGAGAGATAAAAAATAATTCAATGCATAGAAAAATCCGTTTTTTATTACTTCAATGCAGACTATTAGTTATTGTAATTGTCTCATAATCCAATTAATTTGTAATTAATTTGATAATTAATTAATTTGCTAATTAATAAATTATTCAGAAAATTAACTAATTATGAATTAATTGTTAATTAACTATTTATCAATTGCGAATTAATTATTAATTAATTAATTGATTTGTAATACTCCAATTAATTTGGAAAGTTTTTTAAAAAAAAATTAAAAAAATTTGATGTCAATTTTTTTTAAAAATTAACCTAACAGGTTTTTCTGAAAAACTACAGATATATAAAATTTTCGAAAGCAATTTTGACAATAAATATGCATTATATAGTACGTGAAAGTACCACAAAGTTAATTGAAGTATGAGACGATTACAATAACTAATAGTCTGCATTGAAGTAATAAAATACCGATTTTTCTATATATTGAATTATTTTCTATCTCTCACAGGACCTTCTATGGGCCGAAACGAATGTTGCCCCCTAAAATTATTCCTCATAAGGCATACATCCCACTAGTTTATTACGAAATTGGCGAGTCACACTTCCCTAGTTTCCCTTGTAAGTGACAATACTTTCTAAAAACGCTTTAAAAAATATTTTTTAATCCTTTTAGGATGAAAGGTTCGAAGCTGAAATATTTCTGCATTGAAAAAAGGTTTTTAGTACAGACATTTCCGTGACAATAAAACGAAAATTCCGTCACAAGGTTGAGGTAAGGTTGCATGCTTTCTGGGAATATTAGTTATCTTACAATTAAAGTTTAATATTTGATAATTAACTGCTAAAACTTTATTTGAAACTTTAGAACTAAACATATACGTAATATTGTGAGTATGTTTAGCATTAAAATAATGCTACGTGATATTATTTACTTTGATAATGAAATTAAACTGTAGTTACTTTAATATTAAAACTTAATAAGTGATATTTTAAGATGTTCGAATTAGTTACTTTAATATTAAAGCTTATTAGTCTCTTTAAAACCAAAACTTAATGTTAGTCACTTTAATTAATAATTAATTTTTATTTACTTATTTACCTTCAGCTTCAAAATTTTATTTAGTTTTCAATAGTCATAAAGTATTTGAATTGCAATGAATAAAAAAATCACTTAGCAACTACGTAATTGTAAATGACAAAAACTAAAAAATTTGAATAAACTCGGATAAATTGATCAAAAAAATATCTAAAACTGTGATGTATTTACTATAATGCGTAGATTTCTCGTATATTTTGATGGTCAGAAATCTAAATATGAGTGAAAAATGCAAAAAAAATTTTTTTCTTTCTAAATTTAATTTTGAAACTTCTTTTTTTAATGGCGGGCACTTGGGTCGGTGTCCCATTGGCTTCAGAAATGCTGGAATGGGTACGTTCTTATTGTTACCCGGGGGTACCTGTGGCTGAGCCATGGCGGTGGAGTAGCGTCGACCTCGTCATACAACCACAAACCCCTGTATAGGGGGTGTTACATTCACACAATCACCCAGAAGAAAGGACATAGAACAGAGAGAGAGAGAAAGTTACATCCATGCCTACTGTAGAGTTCGAGTCCACAACCACTGGCCTTGTAGTCCAGTACAGTAATCACTAGACAAGTGATCGGCAATTTTGAAACTTCATTTGTGCTTCATATTAGTTAATTACAAGTAGAAGGAGCAAAAATTGAGAAAACTTGGTCCCTGTTTCCAAGAACCAGTAGTTAAAAAATATAAATAATATAAACTTTCCGTATACATTTTCTGTGCTCCATAAGTATTTTCAGTAGTAGAGGGTTCATGGGTTGCAATCCTCTTGCTGTTGGGAACCCATGAAAGGTTTTCATCTCCATGTAACGCAAATACGGTAAGTTACACGAGGGCTAGTTTGTCCCAGTGTTCGAGTCTCGTAGTGGACTGATAATAAGGACACGGTTCCCAGTAGAACACCCAAGTCAAGCATCACTGGCCGCTGTCAGTAAGTGGGTGGGTGACCACTTTGATCCGCCCGCGTAGGGACCGAGAGTGCGCGGTGTCTGTGTTCGTTAAACTGTTCCACCATAAAGTGCTCGACTTCACGCGCAGGTCATCGGGCTACCAAAGCACGGGAGCATCCCCTCTGCAGAGGATCGAAATTGCTATGGCATGTCTTCAGATCATCTTCAGGGATGTTTCCCAGACCGTCGCCAATAGCCTACATACCTACCCAGTGTTTGATCCAGAAGTTCTGGGTTGGATCAAAAACTACTAGGCTACGGAGTTTAACATTGATGGTCGTAAACTCAGAAGAGGGTCGGCTGTTCAACGTAAGTTATAAAATAAAATAAAATTGCAGGTAGAGGGACCACTAAAAATAAATTTGCAGCTATTCGAATTAATTTTAGTGATAACAAACTAACGAGCCAGTATTGTTTTTGAGCTTTGATTAGCATGCTTAAGAGCAAGCTTTTACACTATTACGATTGTTGTTATCAATGCCACTTGCCAATATCAGCAAGCCGGCCATGGGAATCCGAGCGAATTTTTAAGGCAAAAGGTGCGTTTCTTGTTTTCCAGTGGCGCCATCCAAAGCCAGGAGCACGACTTAAGCCTCACACATGTCACAGACCATTTTACAGCGAGTATACATTCATACTCCACTCATTCATTCACAGATCATAAATTTGACCTCAACCAGAGAACGATCAATCTCCGATTCAGTACACCCAGAGGTACTGATTTGTTATGGGAACTTGGAGGACTTTGTGACCCCGATAGATTTAATGTGCTGCAGTCACCATTTAATACACGGGATTCCTCAGCCGGTGGGATTTGAAATATAATGGCTCTCATGCACACGAGCCCAACGTTCTTCCAACCAGGATGATTGCATATTGGTAGACAAAATTACAATCGAAAGTTAAAGAGGTTCATTTCTTTAAAATGTTACTTTTCCATTCTACTCTAACCTATTTAATAAAAAGAGCAAAATTTTATGTAGAAGTTAAATTAACTAACAGTAAACTCATTAAATCAGCACTAATCATTTCCTGGTAATAATTTAGATCCTTTCAATTAATGAATTATTTTTCTAAAAATGTTCTGCTTAAAACAAACATTCTAATAAATATACTTTCTCGTGAATAAATAACTGTTTTATTCTGTATTGATTTAGAAGAAGTGAGAGAAGCTTACTTGAAAATTTATTGAACTTTGACTTTTCCAGTTTCAGAAAACACCTTCGCAATAAAATCAAAAATCAGATGCACGTGTTTCGACGAGAGACAAGACTTTGTTAGAAGAAATATTTATTTTCGTCAAAAAGGTAAATCAATTTGTAATTTAATTTGTAATCTTTTGAGAGTGGAGCTGCGCATAAAATAAATAATTTTCTACAACCGTGTTTCCAGAAATATTGAAAAAAATTTAATAAAAGATAAATTCGTATGACATCTATCTATACATTCCGAAATAATAATCGGTAATATTTTTTTAAAATATTTTATTCAATATATTCGATACAACATGTAACAATTGCATAAAAATTTCAGATTTGTAATTAATTTGA